TATATATATATATATATATATGTAATTATTACTATAGCTATAAGAATACAGATTTCTACGTGTCAAAAAGGGATCGTGTAGAAACACCTTTCTACATGACCATAAAAATTCGTCTCTAGACACTTCTCAGTACAGTCCTATAGTCCTTATGCGGAAGCCTGTGTGTTGTATATAATTATTTTTATAGCTATAAGAATACCGCTTTCTAGGTGTCAAGCATAAAGCGTGTAGGAACACCTTTCTACATGACCATATAAAAGCATCTCTAGACACTTTAGGGATATTTCTCTATATCCGTAGTAGACCGTATGGAGACGACTACATATATGCCCATATTATTCCTTATAAAAATACCCGTATCTGCAAGTCCATAAAGTAGAGCATGTAGAAACATCTATTAACACGACCATATTAACGCTATTGTAGACAACTCTCCGTACATCCACACTAGTCAATATTAAGAAGAATTCCTTGGCACTACAGCCCCAGTGGGCCTAGGCCTACCTCCATGAACTCCGTTCACTTCGGTTTTTCTAGATCTTACACATACGGAGGGACTCCTTGGGCGGGTGATCAGCTTGTCGCAAGGCCTCTACCTGTACACAAACACAGAAAAACACACACAAACTAAACATCCATGCCCTGAGTGGGATTCGAACCCACGACCCCGATTTCCAAGCGAGCGAAGACAGTGCATGCCTTAGACCGCTCGGCTACCGTGACCGGCATATATTATAAGAATGTAGCAACACTTTGTACATGACTATATTACTACGTTCATTGCCACTCAACTCTACATACTGAATAGTACGTATATAGGCCTATATAAATGACCATTTTATTGCTTATAAGAATACATCATTCAATACGTGTAAAGTAGCGCATGTAGAAACAACATTCGTAATGACCATATAACAGCGTTCCTAGACACGTCTCAGGACAGCTCTACTAGTCCGTATGTGGAAGCCTTTATATATATATATATATATATATNGCTACAGCCCCAATTTGAACCTTGGCCTACCTCCATGAAACTCTCCGTTTCACTTCAGTTTTCTAGATCTTACACATATGGTAGGACTCCTTGGGCGAGTGATCAGCTCGTCGCAAGGCCTCTACATGTAGGCAGACACAGAAAAACGCACATAAACATCTATGCCCTGAGTGGGATTCGAACCCACGATCCCGGCTTCCGAGCGAGCGAAGACAGTGCATGCCTTAGACCGCTCGGCTACCGTGACCGGCCAGCTATAAGAATATCTCTTTCTACGTGTCTAAAATAAAGCCTGTATAAACAACTATCTACATGCCCATATTATAGCGTTTTGTGTAACTTTTCTGGACATCCCTAGCAGAACATATAGTTAGACCTATATACGAGTACATACCCGTATTATCGCCTGTAAGAATATTTCTTTCAGAGTGACAAAAATAGAGCGTCTATGAACACCATTCTGCCTGAACAAATTAAAGCGTTTTTAGACACCCCCCTCTACAAATCCTAGTAGTAGTTATGCGGAAACCTATATATATAATTATTATTATAGCTCTAAGAATACTGCTTTCTACATGTCAAATGTGGATACACGTTTCTACATGACCATATAAAAGCGTCTCTAGACACTTCTCAGTACAGAAGTAGCAGTACTTATGCGGAAGCCTATATATATACACATAAAATTATTACTATAGCTCTAAGAATACCGCTTTCTACATGTCAAAAATAGAGCGTGCAGAAACACCTTTCTACGTGCCCATATAAAAGCGTCTCCATACACTTCTCAGTACAGCTCTGGTAGTCCTTATGCGGAAACCTATATATATATATAATTATTATTATTNCTCCATGTATGCGAACAAGAAGACGTAAGATTCTGGATGACCTTGAAAGCTCGTGGAGTTTCTGAATGGTAAACAAGCAGCGGTTTCATTTTCAAATCGCCGCTTGCATTTACAAACAATAGCAGCGTGAGACGGTCTTTCATTGGCTTATGGCCGGGCAATGCATTATCCTCTGCTGTTATATATAGGTTCGCTTCGGCACCTTTTTCCAGAAGAGATCCGTCTCGTCACAATTAAAACCCTGTTTCGGCAGGTAACCCTCAGAATCTACGAGCTTCTTGAAGTCGCCAATGAAGTTCTCTGCTGCCTTTGTGTTGGAGCTTGCTGCTTCACCTTGCCTTACAACGCTGTGGATGCCGGTTCTTCTCTTAAACTTCTCGAATCACCCACGGCTTCCCTTAAATGCTTCTTCTTCGGCCGTTGATGATCCTGGCATCTTCTTAACGAGGTCGGCGAAAATCACTTTCGCCTTCTCACAAATGATGTTCTCGTTAATAGTGTCTCCTTGCAGTTGCTTTTCGTGTATCCATATGAGGAGCAACCTTTCAACATCGTCGAGAATATGTAACCGTTGTGTAGATATTCTTGTCACTCCCTCTGAAGCATCTGTCTCCTTAATCCTGTCCTTGTTCTTGAGGATGGTGCAAATCTTGATGTAGACCGATTGTATGTGTGTGCTAGATCAGCCACGCTCACACCTCGTTCTCACTTTTCAATGATTTTACATTTCATTTCTACGGTTATTTTTATTCTCTTACGGCTGTCTTTTTGCGGCTTTTTCTTCGGGGACATTTTTGCAAGGGTTAAACTTTGCACACAAAAATGTCACAAATAATAAGTCTGATCACAAGCGACACTAAGATGCTAGTGGAATGAGTGCTAAACACAGACTGATGTAGCAAGCGCACAATCCGGGACTTGCTCTCTCTCACACTCGTTATGTGAAACATCGCTCGTTAAGCTAGTCTTTTTTTACAATTTGTCTTGCTCGTTATGAGAGGTGCTTGTTAAGCGAGTTTCCACTGTATTTGGAAAAACAACCAGACAATAATTTGGAAAGTATCCTTCTTTATCGAGCACTATGTACACAAGTCACTGTCTCAGAGCCAGCGTTTGCCAAATGAAGATAGCAGTAATGAGGAAACAGGTACAAAGGATGCATGCATTATGGGGGTACATTCATAAACAGACAGAAACAAGGTGGTGTTTACATAAGCACACAACAAGGGCTGTGCACTATCTGTATACAAGTCACAAGTTCTCTCAAGACCCAGCTCAGTTCAATGCAGCAAAGAGCAGACGAGTGGGTAGTGAGTCAGTCAGTGTTCAGTATATCAGTGCAGTCAGATGGCAGGATCTGAGTTCTCACGGATGTGTAGGGTAGAATTTGGTGAGCTTTTTAATGTTCAATTCAGCGCAGTACAGAGAAGTCAAGAGGTACTTCATCTCTTTGGAACCAATACCATGCCACATATCATATCAACATGAGTCTATAATACATGATACTCTATGACACAGACCTAATCTGACCAGATTGTATTTGACAGATATTTATATTAATGCACATTAACTTAACATTAATCTTAACCATGAATTTCATCCCTATATGTAAAAGGTAAAGTTGTCCCTGTGCTTAACTAATTAAGCACTATGCCATGAAGGCGTATGGGGGAATGGATGTATAGATCCACATTTTCTTGACCTCGGCACTAGTTGGAGGTGAGTTGTCAGTTTCACACCCTGGCCACTATACCTTTGGGGAAAGAGCCCCTGGTACCCTTTGGATAAGAGGCTGGGTGGACCTCAGAGCCAGTCTGGACGAGGAGAACAGAAAGTTCTTCACTCTACCGGGACTTGAACTCTGACCCATCAGTCGTAAATGGTTTAAGTCTTTTATGTACATGTATTGTAAAGTTTCCTTTAATATTTGGTCTCCCCGCGAAAATGACCAGCTTATGACCAAAACATGTCAAGGACATACTAGTATTTGATCAACAAAAAGGAAATAAATTAGATACACGTGGATGGTGATTTCACATTATATCAGTGAAGTAAACTAATAAATTATGGGACAAAGACAATTTATGATTCTGAGTATCCTCAACTTGGATTTTCTATTGTTGCAATGTTCTTGAGATAACACTTTAGACTGCACAACGGCACTCCTGTTTTGGAACAGCCGTATTTCTTCATATTAGTGCAACCTTCCACTCCACACTGAACTGGTATAAGTACAGGTTTCCTGAAACCAATAAAGTCCCAATTATGAAACAATAACAGTGCTGATGCTTGGAATTAATGCTTTATTTTGACTTTGTCCATCATTTGCTATTTTAAAAAACTAGAGAACACTGGATGGTGGACAAAGTAAAAAAAAACTAATAATTCTGTCCGTTATACACCATTGTTACAACCCTTTAGAATCTACCAGAACCTGATGGTTTAACATTCCCTGTTTCAAAGCCTACCACTGGACACAATTCTGAATCAGTTCCATTGTGTGTACCTTGTTCTCTGTAATGTATTTTGTTTTGTATTGTTCCCTAATGTTATAGTCTCTACTTGCCTGTATAAGTGTAAGTTCTACTGCCACTGGGTGAACACCCAATTGCAGTAAAATAATAATAATAATAATAATAATTAACCCCTATCCTCACAACCCATCTCCCTCAGTTCCACCTTCATGTTATCCTCTCAAACTCCTCAGTTTTGCAACTGAGCGTTTTCCACGTTTTTTCACCAGAATTCTGTATGCATTCTTTATACCCTCAGCATAGCCACATGAACAGTCTTTTGTTTGGCCTCCAAGATCTCACTACACTAACAACACTAGATGACCTGTCTACATCACAAAGTTCCTTGTTATGTAACATCCTAAATTACTTACTTCACCCTTCTTATTATTTTCCTGAGCACCTCAGCCATGTCATTTAAACAAATTAAATCTGATCTCTAATTCCAATTTGGAAAACACAATCATAATTTATTTACTATGTTACAGTGGTGAAAAACTTAATTTCTCACCTTAAAAAAATAACACAGATTGGGGGTGTTTGAGAACATGGCATTGAGGAGAATATTTTTACCCAAGAGAGAATCCAGAAAATCATATAAAGAGGAACTTTATACTATTCACAGAATATTAAAATGAAAGAGAATGAGACATGAGGAGCCCTACTGACAATAACGGAAGAATCAGTTTTTCCACCAATACCATAAGCACTGTTAATGAATGGAGGAATCATTTAAATTAACGGAAATATATGAGGGTGAATCAGAAAGCTATTTTCATGAATAGAGAATGGCTTGCAAAAGTTTGGTTGGGAAGTTCTGCATCATCCACTGTACAGTCCTGCATGCAAGTGACAAAGGCATGACTCCAAGTAAAGAGTACACAGTACTTGCAAGATGGCATCAGTAAACTGATGTACTTATCAGATGTATCAATTTATAGGGTGATTATGTAGAAAGTGACTTTAGTGTGGACTACAATTCTGAAAGTGTAATATACTGGTTTTATGTATGATTAGAGAGAAATACACTTAATGAAAGTTACTTCAAGATCCACCCTCACCCTGACTATTGATGTCTATAACATGCCAATATAATGTGACTGCTTCAAACCAAAAGTCGTATGTAATGGGCCTATACGTACCATGTACCATATGAAATAACGAACCAGAAAGGCAATGTGGGAAAAACATTGTAAACATTGTAAATATGTGTGTGCATTTCTGTGTGTGTTGGGGTTATCAGCTTCCATGGCTGTTTGCACCTGTATAAACCACCAAACTAAGAAATTCTTTCACAACTAGTGTAAATCTATATACCAGGAAATAAGAACAGGTGTCAAAGAAGCATTAAATTTTCAGTAAGTGGAATTTGAAACTGGTACAAAATGCCAAGACACAAGAGTCCTAAAATCCATGCAATAGAACTTGAGACAAATAAATAAAAAACATAGAATTGTTAAAATAACAAAATAACAATGAATTGAATCAACTTGCAGAGCCCAATATTGTTCCAGAACGTCCATGTATTTATCGCCTGTCAATATTGCAAGGGTGTCATGCAACATACCATGAAGATGGGAAATACATTTCCTTTATACAACAGACACTCAGTGAGGAAATGCTGAAGAGTGCACAAACTGGTGCCAACTCTGCACACAACAAATGCCTGCCCATCATGCAAGAGCTGCACCACCTCCTCCCTCCTGATGGAGCTGAGAGAAATACTGTATGATGAAACCACTACTAGGCCTTAACACTCCCTTCAGTTTATCCTTTAGACTGTGGTTTTGAGTTTCAATTTTTCTCTCTTTCTGAATAAGAACTACATTTCTGTGACATATGGGTGTACACCCTTACTGATTGCACTGTGGGTCAAAACATGCACAGAAATATTAATGAAAGTAGTGTGTATCCCTCCTGCTAGACCAGGCAAAAGATTTGCAGCAGGCTCTCAAATAACCTCCCTGTATGTATAAGGATTTCTACTATTAGTATTGGAACCCCACATGCATGGGACAGGTGTGCATCTAGACACAGAGTTTTTACTGGACATTTAAAATAGGCAAAATAAGTGACCATTCTATATATAAAGGGTATCTGACAACTTTATGTTTGGCAGATTGTGGTGGCTGTACAAATGGTCAGTAGGAAGCACAACATACTCGTATGAGGTGCTATCAGAAAGTACCCAGATTAGGTCAAAAAAAGAAATGCTGGGTTAACTTACTCAATTTTGACTGCCATCTTCTTTAAAATAGTCTCCTTGTAACATATACAGTGATTCCTTCATTTTTTCCATGCTTCAGAAGCACAATGGAAGTCATTTTCCTTAATGCTGTCGAGTACCACTTGCAATTCCTTTGAATGTCAGACACTGTTTCAAAATGTCCCAGCAGTTTAATTTTAAATTTGGGATATAAAGCAAAATAACAGGGGGCTACGTCTGAAGAGTAGACAGTATAGGGAACGATAACCATGTTGTTGTTAGTCACAAACTCTGTGATTTTCAGGGACGTGTGGGCGGGGTTGTTGTGATAAAGGAGAAAGTTGTGGTTGTGCCAATGTTCTGGTCTTTTTCGTCGCAGATTTTCTCTCAAGTGCCTCAAAATGTCAGGGCACTTGTAAAAATCAGAGTTAAGCATAGTGTTAGGAGGAACATATTCATGGTGAACAATCCCCTTCATGTCAAAAAAAAAAAACCCCAATGCGCATGCTCTTAGTTGAACTCCAGATCTGCCATGCCTTTTTTGGGTTCTTCCACTGCAACAAGCGTTGCTTTATTTCTGCATCATAACCATAAATCCAACTTTTGTCGCCCATTATGATCCTAGAGATAGAAGCTCGGTACTCATAAGCCTTCTTTTATAGCTCAAGAAACATATTTACACACTGCTGTTTTTGAATATTTGTCAAGAGTCAGGGAACAAACTTCACAGCAATGCGGCGCCATGTTCGTATTTTCTCTTAAGATCCGGCAAACTCCATAACTGATCCCAACGGCATGTGCGAACTCATGGATTGTTTCGTGATGGTCTTCGTGGATGAGTTCTTAAATTTTTTCAACATTTTCTGTCATTTTGCTGGTGCTTGGTCGCCCTGAACATTTGTCATCTTCAACCAACACTCGACCAGCCTTGAAACGTGAATTCCATTCAGAAACCACTGTCTGGCTTAAAGAATGTTCTCCAAAAGTCTCCTGAAGCATTTGAAGGGTTTCAGTAGCAGATTTACTGAGCTTCACACAAAACTTGATGCAGACGTGTTGCTCAATTTTGCCATCCATCACAGACAGAATGAAACACAAAGTCGAAAACACTCATGTAAAAGCAATACGTGTTCACAGCATGGTATCATGTGGCAGACTGATGCAATAAGCTTGCGGAAGTGTGACCTTGGCCTCACCTCTCATCAGCTTTCACTGAGGCAGTTACAACAACAGTCCAGGAACTTTCTGATACACCTTGTATTTTTGTGTAACAGTGTTTTGTTTAATCTAAACATGTACACCCACTAACTTACGGTGCAATTATCATGATTCCATATAATACGTAGGGGAGTCAAATGGAAACCTTAAATATTTTTTGAGTATTATTTATTGTGCACAAGTGGTACAAAGCTGTATCACTTTTCAACATAATCTCCCCCACGCTCAATGCAAGTCCTCCAGCACTTACAAATTGCATGAATTCCTTTGGAAAAAAATTCTTTTGGTAGTCCGCGCAACCACTCATTAACCATGTGACGTACCTCTTCATCAGAACGGAATGTCTTTCCTCCCCATTGCTTCTTGTAGTGGTCCAAACATATGGAAATCACTTGGGGCAAGGTCTGGTGAGTATGACGGATGAGGAAGACACTCAAAATGCAGGTCATTGATTGTCGCAACTGTTGTACGGGCAGTATGGGGCCTTGCACTGTCATGTTGCAAAAGGATACCTGGACAGCAATTCATGTTGCTTTTATTTGACTGCAGGCCAAAGATGATTTTTTAGATCTGAGTATGATACACTGGTGACAGTGGTCCCTCTAGGTGTGTAGTGCTCCAAGTTGATGCCTTTTTCGTCCCAAAAGAGTCAGCATAACTTTCGTTGCTGATGGTTGTGTTCGAAACTTCTTCGGTTTTGGAGATGAGGAATGGCGCCATTCCTTGCTCACTCTCTTCGTTTCCAGTTGGTGGAAGTGAACCCAGGTTTTGTCCCAAGTAACGATTCTTGCAAGGAAGTCATCACCTTCTCGTTCAAAGCGCCGCAGAAGTTCTTCACAAGCATCAATACGTCGGTCTTTAAATTCAGGAGTCAGCTGCTGTGGCACCCATCTTGCAGATACTTTGTGAAACTGGAGCACATCGTGCACAATGTGGTGTGCTGAACCATGACTAATGTTTAAACTTGCTGCAATTTCATTCAATGTCACTTGGCGATTTTCCCTCACTATGGCTTCAACTGCTGCAGTGTTCTCTGGAGTCACAACTTGATGTGCCTGACCCGGACGAGGAGCACCTTCCACTGAAGTCACACCATTTGCAAACTTCCTACGCTATTCGTACACTTGCTGCTGTGACAGGCATGCATCACCATACTGAAACTTCATTCTTCGATAAATTTCAATAGGTTTCACGCCTTCACTACACAAAAACCGAATAACAGAATGCTGTTCTTCCCTGGTGCAAGTCTCAAGTGGGGCAGCCATCTTATACTGGTGCTGTGACGGTGTTCGTGCATCTGCACTATGCTGCAACCTACAGGCCATTCTGCACACTGTTTGTAGCATGCTTACTAACTTACAGGATAATGGTTCAAAATTTCCATTTTTTATTACAAATTTAAGGTTTTCATTTGACTCACCCTCATATATTAGTAACGTGCACCTTATTCAAATGAGAAATTCCTTATGCAAAATAATTAATTTTAAATACTGTTATCTAACAAGCTCAGTTGGTTCAATTCTTTAAGAAATATCTGAAATACATCTTTCATAAACTGACAACAGCATTCCAAATGAACACTTACTTCTCAATATGGTCTTCTGGGTTTCAATCTAGTGCAGTACATTTGGACATAAGAAAAATAAAGGTGGTGTGAGCGCTTCAGAACATTTCATAAAATTAAACTTTTTGATTCATGGAAGTTCCCTAGCATCATTAGGGTAGTGTAATCAGGCAAGCTTGAATGAGCTGGGATACAGCTAGGATGGCAGAGACAAGGAATCATATAGAATTTTGGTGGTAGGGAAACCTCCTGAGAAACAGCCACTTTGGAAGACAAAGAAAGGGATGGGAGAAAATTTATGGTAGTAGGTTGTGAGATGAATGGAAAAGGCTTAGAACTGTGTTCAATGGTATTAGCAATGTCAAACCTTCATGTTCTGTTACCATGGTGTTACTACTGAAAGAAGCTTACAATATTTCAGAAGAGCCCACTCCTTCCATCCTCCAGACAGAAGATGGAAGCAATATCCCTTCAATATGCCAAAGCTCCTTCTGGTTCTATATGGAATTCTAACACAGAAGTCTATAAATGGTATACAGACTGGTCAGAAAACATAATGCATAAAAATCATCACTTGAAAAAGGAAACTCGTGTCCGTCTTGATTCATTATTCATCACATACATGCAGAGTAACTAAAAAATATTGTATACCTTTCATTCTGTATTAAACTGTGCTATCAAAATTTTGTTGATGTGTAATGGAGAAAATATACAGTTTTCCTTGATGCATATAAAATCTAAATCACATTCACCCGTTAATAGCCCAACCCTAATCCTCTTGCAAAACATATTAATGAATATAAACATTTTTGTTCCAAAAATCTTATCTCTGGTTCATGGTCTCTAATTTCTCTTAGGCATGTTTTGAAGCATCCAATGGTTAATGCTGGAAGCTTTACAATTTTACTTCTTCATCCTATTTACTGAAACATACCATTAAAAGTAAACATACCAGTGTGTACATTTTCCCATTTTTTTTAAATGTACTGTTGAGCAGCTGACTTTGTGCAATATATTGTAACGTGTTTACGTTACTGATCCCACTTCTGACACCAGTGTAACGTGTTTACGTTACCGAAGACGCCGTAGAGATGGTTAATTGGCTTATTTAACAATCTACAAGTAACGGCTACAATTACTTATCACACAGTTGCAGGGTTTCACACTTTATAACCCTAATCGCATTAATCTGTTACCACTGTTGCGGGGTTTAACGATTTATAACCCTATGCGCAAATCAGCTCAGTCTGTCTTCAGTAGGCTACACGTTTACAGTAGGGGAGCTATGTATCACTGTATCACACACTCCCAATTACACAATCACTCACACGTCCGGTTCTTCTTTCCGCGACGGCTGCTATACTCCAACTTGTAGTCGGCTGGCTGTTACTTTACAACTCGGTACAACTGTGTTAGGCGGCTGCTACAGTAGAACTCGCTGGTAGCCACACTAGAACTCACTGACTGACTCAGTACAACTCGACTCGGCGACTGTTACAGTACAACTCAAGTCGCCGACTGCTACAGTAGAACTGACTGTGAATAGCCTTCGCTTCTCCCTATGTAGCCTCGATTGGACAATACGGCCACGTAATAGGCACCCTTGTTGCTAGCCACGCTGTCCGGTTACATCACCGCTGTTGATTCGCCTTGCATAGTTACCCGGTTACGGGGCTCGGCTATCTTCGGCTCCGCTCGGCTCTCTTCGGCTCCGCTCGTGACGTCACCGCGCATGGCTGCCAGGATGCGGGGTGATTACTCGCCTATTACGCGAGCGTTACGTTACCGCTACGTGCAGCTGGGGAGGTAGGGGTCAACATGTCACAATATTTCAAGCACTCTATGGCTAATTAAGCACTGTCCTTTTTCCCTGAGATACTATTCAGGGATGTAAATGGAAGGACACTTTCCAAAGAAATTATCCAAAATCTAAACGTGTTGCTTTCTGGGAATTTTTATATTAATGGGTGCTGTTATTGTTATTTTATGGGTACCGAGTTTCATATCTAATAATTATCTTATCATGAAGCACTCATGTTCAACAGCCACACAGCAAATTCTTACCCAACTATAGTTTGTAACTGCAGAGGGAATTCCATATTTGGAGGGAGTGATATGCTGATACCATCCACTGTATTACGATAAGTCACTCGGGGAACCTGCTTTCGAGCAGATCGTGACCTGTTGCTGCTCTTCCCAGCTTTTGACTCTTGTTTCTTCAATAATCTCTCCATTGTTTTTTTCTGAAAGACCAATCACATGTTTAATTCCCAAAGTTTAATATACCCAACCTTTCAACATTTGAAATGTATCACATATGAAGGCCACATCCATTAGCATAGGTAGGATATTTTAATGGCAAGACAAGTCCCATGACTCTTAAGTATACCTGACACTTGTGAACATTTACTGTTTGCATTAACAATTATGTTATTTAAAACAAGCAACTGAGTGCCTACTTCTCTAATGTGGGAAACCTTCTTAGGTGCCCAAATTTGCAACATACATTGTCAGAAAATAATACCTCAGTGGTTCTAAAATTCATTCAAGCATCAGGCAAAGTAAGCTTACCACCATTGCTACATGCCCTGCCTATCTCATCCTACTTGACTCGATCACTCTAATTACACTTGGCAAAGAGTAAAAGTTATGAAACTCCTCATCGTGCAATTTTCTCCAACCTCCTATTATGAGGGTTGGAACTTTAACACTTTGCGGACTGGCAATTTAAATATTTAAATCACACTGGGGACTGGCATTTTTAAACCTACCACCCTAACTTGTGCACTGTTCACTTTAAAAATTAATATAAAACCTCCTTATTAATTTCATGAACTAAAATTTTTGGAGAACACTTATCAGTGCTTCTAGAAGTGCTTGAGAGTGTGATATTTCTGGAAGCATTCAACTTTGTAAAGTGGCATTACACAGAACTTGCACATGTAGACAGTCATACTCCTTTTGTTGTGTACTGCGCAAACACAGCATTGCCTAGAAGGATGCTTCCCCTTGGAATGTTCACTCTTCAGAACTTTCATGATGGTATGTTTCTGCATATCACCCGAGAGTTGCCCAGGGGTGTCCACATGAGGATTGCGTGGGGTGGGAGTTGATGGGCCCGGTCTCACTAAGTCTGTGCCTGACTCTGGTTCTGCTACCACCATCTGGTCTGTAGCCCACGCCTTTGCCACATTCATCAGAAATGCTTTGTATTTCAATTTCAAATCAGGGTTTAGATTTTTGTAAACCAAAAATGAATTGAAAATGGCACAGTTTATAAGCCACAAGGCAACTTTCTTTGTCCACTTTATTATTTTCCTAGGAAGAGAATAATAGGCCAGGTATTGATTGGCTCTATCAACTCCCTTCATGAACATATTATACTCAGAAATACAAATAGGCTTCTTTACTTGTCCATGTCTCCTTTGAACATCAACCATGCTCGAATTGTAAATTGTGGAAATCATATTCACAACATGAGTATTCCTATCTCCAAAAAACAGTTCTGCTACTTCAGACACTTGCGTTGGGTCTGATGGAATTTGTTTCACCCCTGGATTTCCAGTAAACTGTCCCAAAGTAGGCATTTTGTCTACTTTCCCCAATGTGGCTGTCCTCGCAATTTTACTACCTGCATTTTCATCGGAGCTACTTTCACTTTTATTGTCTGTGGCCACAAGTGTTTGTTGTCCCATCACTGCCACTGTCTAAATCACTATCACTACACACCTCAGAAGGAACGTCAGATAGCTCAGAGAACAAGTCAGATATTGCTTGATTTTCAACCACTTCTGTCCTTGACTCATTGCACTACTAACTTCCTGCCTGGTACATAAGAGCTTGAAGGGTCAAAGATCCTTTTCCTTTGGAGGGGGAATCCAAACAGCAAGATCAAGTTACTGCATACTAAGCAAACATTCTGGAATAATATTACACAGCACTCATTTCATTTGGATAGCGCCAGAGAAAGGCATAGTGTGTTACAATCTAACGTGTCCTAAAATCATAATAATATGCCACTGGTCTGCCACGTTTAAAAGCGCTGGGCATAAAAATATGCCACCAGTCCGCAAAGCGTTAATAGTGGCAACTATTTATTTACAACTGATACCAAATAGATGCATGTTTCGAAGTTTTACTGTCCTTCAAAGTAATCACCCATTGCCAGCGATGTGGAAGTCGTAGGACACCTTTAGCAGTGCCTGTTGTATTGATAGTTTGAATGGAGCAGTCTACTGCCTGAAGAATCTCTGGAACAGTTCTGAAGTGAATGCCACAAAGTGGTTCCTTCATCTTAGGAATCAAGTCGAAGTGATAAGGGCTTAAGTCCGGGGAGTATGGTGGATGGTAAAGCACTTCCAAGCCCCATCGATCGAACAAATCAGCCACAGCTTGCGCTGCATGCGGCCGAAAATTGTCCTACATTGTCCCTCGTTGAAGGCTTTTACCCACCTTGCCACTGTTCTGTAAGATAATGCAGATTCCCCACAAGCCTCTTGAAGACCTTGATGACACTGTCATGCTGTATGGCCTCTGGCACATTCAATCTTTATCCAACTCTGCTGTTCCTGTTTCGAAAACATCGTGACAACACTACATTAGACCACCAGCTAACATGAGGCTCTGTTCTTCTCGTCACTGCGCATGCGCGTGATGTGGGAAGGGAGAGTCCATTTGCTCTGAGGTAAGGTAGGTATGTAACTAACGTGTGGTATAAGCAACATTATTTGGTTCCGTAGCATGGCGTCTCTACAGCAGTGTTGCCACTATTAAAGTTCCAACCCTCGTATTTTGTGCCACTTGGGTCCAAATATTGTCCTCAGTGCCCTGTTCTCAAACACCCTCATTCTAGTTCTTCCCTTAATGTTAGAGCCAAGTTTCACACACATACAAAACTACAAGCAAACTTATAGTTTCTTATATTTCAACCTTTACATTTTAAACAGAAGATGAGAAGACAAATGGGTTCTGAACTGAATGGCAGCAAGCATTACCCATATTTAATCTGCTTTTGGTTTCTCATGAATCAGATTTGTATTTGTTACTGATGTTCCTAAATATCTTAACTACGCCACGTTTTTCAAAGAATCTATTATATATTTTTATAATATGATTCTGCCTTGCATTCTGGTGAAGAGACAGCAATATATAGTTAGTTTTCTGTGCACTTACTTCTAGACCAACCTCCTTACTAGCATCAACTAACAGCATCATTAAGTAATCAACTTAAAAACTTTCTTTCATCTATGCCTAAGTTTCCCATGTGTCTCCCACTTGTGCCAAATGTCCTGCTTATCACATCCTCCATGATTTGACTATCTCAAGAATATTTGGTGAAGAGTATTGATTATAAAGCTCCTCACTACCCAGTTCTTTCCGACCTGGATTCACTTCCAACGTCTTAGGTTAAAATGTTTTCCTGAATTCCCTGTTCTTCCTTACTATAACAGACCAAGTTTCACAATTTACACCCCCCCCCCATGTCATATTACCTTATCCTTTTCCCTCTTCTCATCAGCCAGTTGTTTTCGTTTCTGGGACTTGAGGGCAGCCTTCTGTATTGCTTCGGCCGTCATGACTTTCTCCTTGTAACCTACAAGCAATGAAGAACAAATACATATACACATAAACACACAAAGTGACTCAACATCATTCAGGCCTTCAAATAGACAAGTAATATGGCAAAGTGCATTATTACTGCTCACTCTATGGAGTAAGAGTTCGTCTTGGGAAGTTAAGAAACACATATTTAGTAATGAGAGTCCCCATATTCTAAGGAACCCAAGGATAATTACCATTTTCAGAAGAACTCACAACTGGAGACCATCCTGAAATAGATGAATTCAATCCACACATTCACACTGCATTTCCTTACAACCCATTTTAAGATCCCCCTACCATCTGTACATAGATCTCCAATGTGATCACATCTTTTCAGACTTCCAGATTAAATTACTGCATGAATTTCTCATCTCCATACATGCTGTATGTCCTACACAAACAATTCTCCGTCACATGCTCACCCCAGTGATATCTGGTGGAAAGTATAAATTATGGTAGTACTGGTGAGCCTTGATAGCATAGTCAGTATAGTGATGGACTACAGGCTCCACGACCAAGCAGTCGGAGTTGAGTCCCAGTAGGGTCAAGAATTTTCTCTTCTCCACATTATCCAGACCAGCTCTGAGGTCCAACCAACCTCCTACTCAAGGGGTACCAGAGGATCTTTCCCCAGGGGGTAAAGTGGCCGGGGTGTGAAGATGACTGCTCACCTCCAGCTAGTGATGAGGTCAAGGAAATATGGATCCATACATCCACTCCCCCATACGTCTTCATACCGTAGTGCTTAATTAGTTAAGCACAGGGACAACTTTACCTTTTACTCATTATGCAGTTACCTCCATCCTCCTACTCCTCCTCTTACTTCCTAGGCTTCTGCGACTATAATGTGACATGTTACGTTCCATCCATCGCCGCAACAACCACTACAATTGGAACAGACACTTCCACGGCAACAAATACATGGAAATTGGGGAGTTCCCACAGCAACAAATCATGGCAACAAATTTTCGTTGAGTAACAACGGATGAGATGAAACACATTATCAGTGTGTTCTATAAGGAGCGTTCCCGTAACAACGGATTGTCTGAACAGCGGTAACGGAACCGTGAAGAATGGTGTCTGGTATCCGGTCCGCATAACCCCTATATAAGCAGAGCCAAGACGACACAGAGACCAGAACGAGACAATCTTGGGATAGCCGCCGCCAGAGACAGTTGAGATCCAACCACGGTCAAGGATAGTTGAGACATCAAATTTGAGTAATGGGCCAGAAGTCAAGTGATATTGTAGTGATAATAATTGTAAGAGTGAGTGTTCAATAAAGATTCACTAAATCCAAGACCCATGTGAAGTTATTTGTCGCGTGACATACCCAACACGTGACAATATTTACGAAATGGCAGACCTCAGTACAAATATTAACCCAAGAAGTAATTTTATATTAAAATGGCAAATCTGAAAGTTGGTTATATCCCCAACTTAATCTTGGCAAAACAGAATTTAAGCCTAAGAATATGGGGTTTGCTACACTGTTTAGAATTCTAATCATAGTGAAAGCTCCTTCAGTTTGCCACAAAAACCTGTATGACAATGGATTTAAATTACGTAGCACGTCCACAAGTAAGTTTCCCACTCATCCCACAGCTAGCAAACCTTATATTGCGCGAAGCGACTGCGGGTACGTGATAGAGCAATGACGTAGCATGGCGCATGCACAAACGGAATTTCCCGCGTTCCCACAGTAGCATCGTTGCAGCTGTTGAAGATGGAGGCTCCCGCCAACTGTGAAGTGCGGTCAGTGATAAACTTTTTCAATGCACAGAGCATAGTGCTGATCAAAATTCATCATCAGCTGTGCCGGGTCTATGGACCTAACATCATGAGCAAGCAGATCGTGCGTCGCTGGTGCAGACAATTTTCAGCAGGTCGACAAAGTGTGCATGATGAGAAGCGCAGTGGGCAGCCATCCATCATTACAGATGACCTGGTGGAGCTTGTGTGGGAATGCATTATGGAGAATCATCGCATCACAATTGCGGAACTCAGCAGTCGTGTCCCACAGATTTCCCGCACCTTGTTGCACGAAATTGTCATGGAGCACCTGTTGTTCAGGAAATTGTGCGCCAGGTGGGTGCTGAAGCAACTGACACCAGAACACAAAACAAAGCACATGGAGTCAGCATTGACCTTTCTGCAGCGGTACCATGATGACGGCTACGAGTTTCTGGAATGGATCATCACAGGTGATGAAACGTGGATTGCACACATTACCCCAGAAACCAAGCAGCAGTCAATGCATTGGTGTCACAGTGGATCGCCCTGTAAGACGAAATTCAAGCAGACGTCGGCGCGGAAAGTGATGTGCACGGTATTCTGGGACAGACGGGGCGTTCTCCACGCCGACTTCCTGACCAGAGGTGAGACAGTGAATGCTGAGCGTTACTGTGAAACACTGCAGAAATTGCGACGGGCCATTCAGAACAAGCGGCGCGGGATGCTTAGTGCCAGTATTGTCTTCCTGCACGATAATGCTAGGCTGCACACGGCTTGATGGACAGCAAGTCTCCTGCAGGAGTTCAGATGGGAGGTCTTTTATCATCCACCCTACAGCCCGGACCTCGCTCCCAGTGATTTCCATCTTTTCCTACACCTCAAGAAATTCCTGTCCGGTGAGCGTCAGCGTTTTGAGAATGACAGAGAGGCGGAGATGGTTCTCACACAGTGGTTCCAATCCCAGGCGCCAGACTACTATGACACAGGTATTCAAAAGTTGGTCCCACGGTATGACAAATGTCTCATTTCCGGTGGTGATTATGTTGAAAAATAGCTGAACACTTGCTGTATCTGTTGCAATAAATATTTCCATGAAATTGTGTTTTGTTTCTGTAAACGGCCTCAGGGAAACTTACTTTGTGGACGAGCCTCGTACACTGTCCTAACCCTCTCCTGAGTCCACTAACTACATAAGTTCACGCAGCAGAGTCCTTCCTGAGCAGCTAATAGTTACTCAGCTGGTCAAGAAATTCCAGCGTTACATGGAGTCAGAACATTCATTACCATTTTCACAAGAGCCCTCCCCCTGGGTCAAACCCAAAAAGGAACATCCCGAAAGTTTGACGTTACATCTAATGAGAATCCAGGTAGACATAAAATGCAAGAAAAAATTGATTCATCTGTTACCCAGTGAAATCAAAGTACTGACTTTTCAACCATAGAACAGGCTGCAACCACAATGTATGATATGATAAATCCAATTTATTCATGGCTCACTCTAACATGCATTCTGTTACAGGTGTCTTCAAAACTTCTTTGCCATAGAAGAAACTAAGAAACCAGAGAGAACCCCAAATGTAACAGTTCAATGAATGTCAGTTTGATACACATCAACCACAGACATCATACATCTCTGAAGCGTATTTATCTAGTTTGCTATTGGTTTCTTCAGTTATTTTAGTATGATAAGACCAACTGAAAATGTAGCATACAAGAAAGTTCACAAATAATATCTGAAGAGATCACTTGGGAACCTAGGTATAAACACTATAATATTAAAAAAAGAATCCCAGCTCCCCAGTACTACCATGATTTATACTTTCTACCAAATATCACTGGGGTGAGAAAGTGATCGAGAATTGTTTGTGTAGGACATACACCATGAATGGAGATGAGAAATTCATGCAGTATTTTAATCTGGAATTCTGTACTTCAGCATCCTCTGCAATCTTTAATTAAATGTCTATGTATCCACAGCCTGTCAATGATGCAACAATTGCTTATTCACCATTTAACACTTAACGCAACATGTTTCGGCCATAGATGGCCATCTTCAAGTGTCTTAATGCATCCAAACTGTTACACTGCTCTGACGTGAGCTAAAACCGCAGCTTAAAAATAGCATAAAAATAATTAATTAAAATCCGTTAAAATTTTCTATTAAAATTTTTCATAAAATCTCATCCCACTTCATAAGGGGTGTAGTCCACTTATTTAGAGCCATGTGATTATTCTTGGTTTGTTTCTGCAGCTTGTTTTTCTGTTTGCTAGTCCATTGTTTTGCTACATCTGCAATCTGTAATAAGCTCCTTGCTTGTGTGTTGTTCCCTTTGGCAGCGTGTGGTGTTGGACGACGCCACTTTTGAGGTGGAACAGGATTTTACGAAAAATTTTAATAGGAAATTTTAAGAGATTTCAATTGTTGCATTATTGACGGACTATGGATACACAGACATTTAATTTAATCTGGAATTAATCTGGAAGTCTGAAAGGATGAGATCACATTGGAGATTCACTGACTCAGAACAGAGTCGAGTGACAAGTGTAAATATAGCAATGAACTGCTGGGTTCTATAAAAGTCTGTGAATTTTCTGACCAGCTGAATAACTATCAGTTTATCAAGAAGGTTTCTGCTCCATGCAGCCTAATGACTCATATTTGAGGCATTACCCCAGATCATGAAAAATCCACAAAGCACATCAAGCAAAACATAAAAACCTAACTGGGATTCAAAACAGGCATTCCACCCATCAAAATGCAAGTCACACACTTTACACCTGAGTTCAATCAAAATGTCTGCATCTTCTCTGACTTATTATGTTCCTCTGGCCAGATACACTATAAAAACTGAACTGCTTTGAAATTCTGATATGTTGGCCTATAAATACAAATTCTATCAATTATTTTTATATAACAATATATAGAAAATACTCAGTTGTTTCAAATATTGCCATCATATTTCTGATCCAGTCATTCAAAATATGTCCTCTGAAAATACACGAACAGGAACTAAAACACATGAATCTGAAAACTGCATAATGAGGAGCTTCATAACTTGTACTCTTCAAGTATAATTAGAATGAAAAAGTCAAAGAGGATGGGGTGGGCAGGGCATGTAGCATGAATGAAGACAATGAATGCATATAGAATATTGGTGGGAAAGCCAGAAGGAAAGAGACCACTGGGAAGACCATGGCATATGTGGGTGAACAATATTAAAATAGATCTTAGAGAGATAGGATGGGATGGTATGGATTGGATTGATCAGGCTCAGGATAAGGACCAGTGGAGGGCTCTTGTGAAAATGGTAATGAACCCTCAGGTTCCATAAAATGCTGGGAAATTCTTGAGTAGCTGCAGAATTGGCAGCTCCTCAAGAAGGGCTCAGCTCCATGAGTAAACATTAAAATAAAACATCCTAATTCAGATAGGCACTCAGTTTCTCAGCAATGACAATGGAAGCTCTCACTCAGTTTACCTGATGGCAGAGCCAAAAGCTGTTCTCCTCCAGGGCTTGGTTCCTTGTCTGTCTTCCGCTCAAACATGGCTCTCTGTCGAGCTGTCATCAATTTTGGATCTTTAGGTTTGATTTTCTTCAGTTCATCATCTACCTGTAAAGCAAAGAGTTTCATACATGGCAGCTTTTCAGAAAAAGATAAAAGTTGAAACTGTTCCTTGGTATGATGTGCAGTGATTTAAAATCCCATAAATTCACAAAATAAATTCAAATAAAAGAACTAAAACATATATATATATGAATATACACATGCCACAAACTTGAAATTCTAGGTACTTTCTTCACCTTCATGTGCCAGTCTCACGAATGTAGCCAAATGGTACACATAACACCATGTTGCAAAATCTTCCATGAAGAACTTGTAGTTATTCAGTTGGTCAGGAAATTCCCATTCTCATACAATTCAAAGGCTCATCACAATGCCTGCCAACGCAGACCACTGGATGCTCATCTTGAACCAGTCCCATCCAGTTCACATCTTCATATCCTATTTCTCTATGATCATCTAACCATCTATGACTTGCTACCTGATGTGACTCCTCTCCGTGAGTGTTCCTCTCGTGTATGCTACATGCATCACACATACCCTTGCAATTTTAAGATATAATACTGTGTAGTTCCTGATTAAGCAGTTTTCAACATTCTTACGTTACTTATTGCGTAGTCGGTATAGCAACTAGCTATGGGCTGGATGACCAAGAGGTCGGAGTTCGAGTTCCAGTAAGGTCAAGAATTTTCTCTTCTCCATGTCATCCAGACCAGCTCTGGGGTCCACCTAACCTCCTATCCAATGTGTACCAGGGGCTCTTTCCCCAGGGGTAAAGCAGCAGGGGCAGAAAGCTGACCATTCACCTCCAACTAGTGCCGAGGTCAAGAAAATGTGGATCTATACACCCACTTTCCCACATGTCTTCATGGTGTAGTGCTTAGTTAGTTAAGCACAGGGACAACTTTACCTTTTACTTCACACCAAATACAGGTAAAGGTAAAGTTGTCTGTGCTTAAGTATTTAAGCACTACACCATGAAGCCGTATAGGGGAGTGGATGTAAAGATCCACATTTTCTTGACCTCGGCACTAGTTGGAGATGAGTGGTCAGCTTCACGCTCCAGCCACTTTACTCTCCGGGGAAAGAGACCCTGGTATCCATTGGATAGGAGGTTGGGTGGACCCCAGAGCCAGTCTGGATGACATGGAGAAGTGAAAATTCTTGTGCCCACCGGGACTCACAGTAGCTATACCAACTACACTATCCTAGTTCACCATCAAATGCAGGTATCCCTCATTTTACAGACACTTGATTCATGAATCTTTGCTTTAACAAAGTATATTAATTTGTGACTATTTTTCACTACAACAAACAGCTTTCATTCATAAGAGGTTGCTTTGGGAAGGGGGAGAAATTCATACACAATACATGGGGAGGTGGGCAGAAGCAAACATCTCCATCCTCGTGAATCCCCCACATTCATTACAAATATCATTCTGATCTACCAGTGATATTCCAAGATATTTGGACTTCTGCCATATTCTTGAAGAGATTTGTTTCTTTTTCTTTTCTTTTTCCAGCACTGGTTCCATTTTATATGGGGTACTGGATGAAGAATCTCTAATCTCTTCTTTCTTCCCACAATCTTTTCTTTTCAACTTCTTGCCAGCTTTTTCTGCTTCTTTGCAGCCTTAGTCTACCAATTTTTTTATGGGGAAGACACTGCAACTGTTTCTCTTTTAATTCTGTTACTGAATTCCGAATTTCATCTTCTTCTTTACAAAGTTCTCCCCCCCCCTAATACTCATTAGATTCAACTTATCATAAACTGTGTATGTGTATGTACAGAAGGGGCAAGGGTCACTCCAAAGCAGAAACTTGACTCAAGGTGCCATCATAAGGAGGTTTCAGAAATGCTGATATAAAGGACAGTGACATGATACTAATACACAAAACATATACAATATCATTAACTTTACACTTGATTTTATAAGCTTTCTCCTTCAGGCATCAGCTGATTATGCTAAACATTAAGTTCTTCCCCGGGGAAGGAGCCCCTGGTATCTACTGAACACAAAACTTGGAGGCTGCACAGCCACTTTGGACAAAGTAGCATAAGAAAATCCCTGTCAGTGATGGGAAATGAACCTGACCATCCAGCCCATAGCCAGTCACTTTACTGAAGTTATTTTGGATGATAAATATACGTATTAATGTTGCTATGCACAAAAACGTCCAAGGATCCATAATGTTCCTCGTACGGAGACACCACTGCACTACTGACAGACTAAATAAAACTAGATACTGATGGACTAGACACAACTTGGGCCCTCTACAGTGAAAATGGCAGTTGCATAGCAAGCAGTCTTGCTCTGGCTTTAATAAATAATGTAATTATTTGCATGGAGTAAGATCTAACCTCTTCTAGTTTTCCAGATTCAATTGCATCCAGCCATCTTTCTTCTTCACTTGATGTTCCACTATCCTTGCCTTTACCCTTCCTTCTTTTTAATGTCTTTGGAGAGGAGCCCACTTGCCCTGGCTTATCGAGTACCTTAGCCGGAGAGCCCTTCTCCTTTGTTTTATCACTGGAACTTGATGGGCTGGCACTGAAAACATAAAAGCCAAACTATCCTCACAGAATTCCAAAGACAACAGATAACAGGAAACAAAAATACATTCAAAAAGTTACACATATGCAAATACATGCACAAGAACTTCTAAGGAAGAACTTACAATGTCTACCTTGCTTCAGATGATTCAGTCTATACAGAATGACTCAAGGTCCTACAGCCAAACTTAGGAGGGTGTTTCAGATAATTTGGAGAAGAAAATGTAAACAAGCAGTTGTCTAGTTTTCCACCACTTCAGTTAGGGTATGTCAAACTTTTAGTCTCCTTCTTTCTGGGGAGGGGGAGTGCATTGGTATCATGGAGCCTTCATAATGTCACAATATTTATGGCTGGAATTATTTCCAGTACCAAAGTGATAACAGTAAAGGTAAAGTTGTCCCTGTACTTAACTAATTAATCATTATGCCATGAAGGCATATGGGGGAGCGGATGTATAGATCCACATTTTCTTGACCTCAGCACTAGTTGGAGGTGAACTCTCAGCTTCACGCACCGGCCACTTTAACCCCTGGGAAAGAGCCCCTAGTACCCACTGGATAGGAGATTTGGTGGACCCCAGAGCCGGTCTGGATAATGTGGAGAAGAGAAAATTCTTGACCCTGCCAGGACTCAAACTCCAACCTCCTGGTCGTCCAGCCCATAGACAGATCCCATTGTTATTGTTGTTATTATTATTATTAGAGGGGGTGGGTTTTCCCGTGCACTTAGACCAGTTATTGGTCCATTGTGCATCCCCCTTTAATTTCTACTGTCTCCATACCCTACCGGTACTGGTGCGTACTATCAGCCCCGTTCAGCCAACGAGGTCAGCCGTCAGTACCTGATATTTCCCCCATCTACCAGAGGCATTGGAAACTACTTGGGTGGGAAATTGTTGCCTAATTTTGCTCAGAGGTCTCCTGGAGACATGAGGATCTTTTACGTGCCATAAATCTACGACACGGGACCCACGGCTTAAAGTCCCTCCCGGAGGACTTGTTCCCTGAATTTTTCCGCCCTTAAAAATTCCACAACCTCCACCGGGTTTGAACCCGCATACCTTGAGTCATGAGGTGGGAACGTTACCCCTAGACTACGGAGGCCGCTTAGCCAGATCCCATACAGACTACACTATCTTGGCTCCTAAAGTGATAACAGTACTACACTTAATTGAATGGTAGGGCTGACAGGGTGCTAACTACAAGGGGATATATGAGGGTTGGAACTTTAATAGTGGCAACTATTTATTTACAACTGATACAAAATAGATGCATGTTTCACAGTTCTACTGTCCCATTTGGCCCAAGTCTCATCCAGCGTAATGATACGGCGTAAGAAAGCCTCTCCTTCACACTCATAGTGCTCCAAGTGGTTACCAGCAGCATCGTATCGTAGCCATTTCTGCATTTCCATAAAATCATGCGGAGCCCATCATGATGCAATTTTTCTCATGCCCAGGCGTTCTTTCAGAATGTGAAGCACAGTTGTATGTGCTAATCCTGTCTCTCGGGCCAGCTCATGAATCATATGGCATCGATCACTCTCCAGTAATGAGGAAAGAGCATACACTTCTTCACTGACACTAGGACGACCTGGCCGATGCATGTCTGCCACATTGTGACATCCCTCGTTGAAGGCTTTTACCCACCTTGCCACTGTTCTGTAAGGCAATGCAGATTCCCCGCAAGCCTCTTGAAGACCTTGATGACACTGTTGTGCTGTACGGCCTCTGGCACATTCAATCGTTATCCAACTCCGCTGTTCCTGTTTCGAAAATATCGTGACAAAACTACATTAGACCGCCAGCTAACATGAGGCTCTGTTCTTCTTGTCACTGTGCATGCGCGTGATGTGGGAAGGGAGAGTCCATTTGCTCTGAGGTAAGGTAGGTATGTAACTAACGTATGGTATAAGCAACATTATTTGGTTCCATTGCATGGCATCTCTACAGCAGTGTTGCCACTATTAACCCTTCAATGCCAACCTCGGTGCCAAGCAGCCTCCGTAGTCTAGAGGTAATGTTCCCACCTCATGACTCGTAGTATGCGAGTTCAAACCCGGCGGAGGTCATAGAATTTTTAAGGGTGGAAATTTGCAGGGAACAAGTCCTCCGGGAGGAACTTTAAGCTGTGGGTCCCATGTCGTAGCTTTACGGCACGTAAAAGAACCTCATATCTCCTAAGGAGGTCACTGAGCCGAATTCAAGGACATTTCCCACCCAACAGTAGTCTCTAACGCCTCTGATAGATGGGGGAAGCATTATAGATACCGCCAAGTCAGTAGAGGCTGGTAGAATATCATAGAGGGAAGCACAATAGATCAAACCGGTCGCGGTGCATGGGGAAACCCACCCTCTCTAAATAACTAACTAAAGTTCCAACCCTCATACAACAGATTAGAAGCTGGTCCGGCTGTTACTCATTCATTTAAAATAAGAACTTTGGTCTCCACTGTTATCATCAGAGTCATAAATGGTTATTATAATTAACAAAATTCCTTTTTTTCCTATCATCATTATTGATTACTGTAGTTAATGGATTTTGGAATGGTGCTAAAACCACTCCTGCCTCCTAAATATGTCAGTTATGCAGGAAATTAACAAGGTTGGAAAGGCACACAACATTAACTAAAGGCATTCTTCATGTTATTAAGCTTACTTAAAGGAAGGAATAATAAAATGTAAATTAGTGGGTCTCCCACACAAATGCTCAGCAGAACCCGTGGAAATATGAAAAAATTCATTTATGGCCTTACATAAACTAGGATCTATTGCAGGGCAATGTGGCTGAAAATGGTAGTTGGCTGACAACACTGAGTCCTCCATATCAAATTTTAAGAAATCTATTCAATTTAGGTGCTGTACTAGGTCACAGACAAATGCCTAAACATATACGGAAATGACTTTTACATAATACATTCATTTTAATTTTGGACATTTAAAAGGTACAATCTTGGGATGATCTCCAATGCCATGAAGTTCATATCACACAAACAATGCACAGAAAAAATAACACGCTAAGAATATATACTTCATAATATAGAGAAAGACACAAATGTAACATGAGTCTCACATAAGACATCATAAAGATATGATTGCTTGTAACTCATGAGTTTATTCAGTTACTTCAGAAGCTCTGTTATACATGCATGTTATTTGGGAGCCTGCCACAAAATGCTCTGCCCTTCAGGTTTAAATTCCACGGGCTACTCATATCGGTCTCATGGCATGGTCAGAAACTAACAGCCTATGCACATTATAAATTTTCTTCAATATCACCCTAATAAATCATTGAACAGCTAGCATGAAACAAGGTTATGAGTTACGTGCCAGCACCACTCATAAATGACAAGCCTCAAGCTGTTATGCTCTGTGCAATAAGCAGTTATGACTCACTCATGTTATTATTTATATCAAAATGCCACATGTGAATTATAAGCTGCAACAATGAGTATTCATGTATGATACTTATGTGAAAAGTGGTTCTGTAAGAAGAGTTAAGAGAAGATTAAGTTTTAGGACATTATTCAAAACAGGAACAAATAATTTATAACATTCATACAATTGTGAATAAATTTGGACAGGCTCAGTTGTTATTAGGCTGGCCTATGGGCTTGCCAATTGCACTGCAGGTCCAAACATGGGGAGAAACAGTTGGCATGAGAAACATGTGTCCCTTTTGTCAGTCTGGCCACTTAAATTGTGGCAGGATCTGAAACAACTACCAACCCTTCAGTATCAAATATAATGATCATGAACAATGAACCTGGAGAGATGTGCAATGGAACAACTGAGGGCTACTTTGAGAACTCGTGATGGATTACTAAGCCTGGTCACATTTAATATACAAATAAAACCAAAGAGTGTGCTCCCCAAGTACCTTAGTTAAATGGTCAATACATACTTCTTATCTCCTGCTTTTTCCTTTCCAAACTTTATTTTTAACCTAAGAGCTGGTTTGCTTGTATCAGCATCATCAAATGACAAGTCTTGTGAACCCTCACTTTCTTCTAATAGTTTCTTCTTTTTATGTTTTTTATGTTTATGTTTCTTATGCTTCTTCTGCAGTAGAAATTCATTTGTATCTGAAACATATAAATTACATTAACAGAATTATGAATCATCATTATGGACTATTTCCACATCCTAGGATTTTTGCCTGTATGGATATATGGAAAATAAAGGAAATGAATGAATAAATAAAAGAAAGCAGTTATATCCTACTCTAGTATACTGCCCCAGCATTTGCCTGAAGGAAGTGCAAAACGCCAAGAGAAACTTTAGGGCCACCTTGAATCCAGGCAGAGTTTCTAACTTCAAACATCTGAAATATCAAACTAGAGTTTTAATTACTACATCATGGGTTAAATTACAGTTTACAGATGCATCTTTCCTCCTTGTTTCCCTAGGTTTTCTGGCCTACTGAGCTTCAACTCTTCCACCGAGTTCTGAATCAACTTTATTTTTTGGATAAACTATAAAGTATTAAGTTATATGCAATTCAGTCTGAAAATACTGGTACCTACATTACAATATTTTACACACCTGACACCATTCCTCATGAGAATAATGCAGAGAAGTCATAGTTTACGACATTGCTACATACCCACAACAAGCTCGTCTTCTGTACTTGTGTCTTTCCGTTTGCCCATTTTTTAAAACACGTCAATTTTCTTGACACAACATCCAATACAAAAACACTTAATACTTCAAATTATAAGCACTGTTCATAATATGAAGCTGTTATGTTTGGTGTACGATGCATATTTCAGGCACTACTAAAATACAACTTGCACCGCATATTTGAAATTCACGTTCACTACACAGACCATACAGACTTCACGCACGGCTAGCAGTGCTGCCAATTTAACATTTTACATAATCCGCTAACACTTTTATTTATTGCATTCTTCGCAACAATCAACTTCCATTATCAGAAAGGCCAAACCCACTCAACTGGTATCGCGCATTACTACCCGCTACCATGGATTAGTATCTATAGCTCGGCATCTCAACGTTAATTGTGAATAACGCACGAATTAATAAATGTTACACATCTAGCCACAGGGGCACGCGATAGTGTAGTTGGTTAAGGCACTATGCTGCCAACCGGAAGGTTCGAGTCTCGATGAAGTGCAGCAGTATGGCCCTGAGGTCGACTCAGTCTCAAACGTCTCAAAGGTCTCAAATACAAATGAATACCAAGAATCTTCCTGGAGGATAAAGGGCGGCCGGTGCGTAAGGCTGACAACCTTACCGCCATCTATGAGCCGATTGTCTAGATAATGTGGGACCCTCCACATCTCACAACCCCATGGGCCTTCATGGCCCAGCCATGGCATAGCTTTTACATATAGCGACATCTAACGGTGAGAACCTTCAAAGGATAGACAAATCATTATAATTATTCATGAAATTTGTCTCTTATTCGCTTATCGGAACAAGTTACAGGCTTTCAGTATATCAAAAAGGAGTCTACTTTACTGGCATAAAAGTGTTCAACAATCTGCCACAAAGTATTAAAAACTTGGGCAATGATACTAAAAAGTTTAAACCAGAGTTAAAGAATTATCTACATGCTCATTCCTTCTACTCTTTAGATGAATACTTCAATGTAAATAGAGAATGATGTAAAATTAAGTTATATTAATTTTTAAGCTAAAATTGCCTGTACTTATGTATGTAACCTTTTGACATGTTTCGTATCCAAAGGTACTAACCTGCTTAGGATTTATAGAATGTAAATAAATTCAATTTCAATTCAATTATTGTATTTAACGCTATTGGTTGGCGGTATACATCATGCAGCCCAGAGCTATCGGCAAGAGCGTAAACCATTCCAACAAGAAATTCCATGGTCGGCCGAAGGAAGATAGTTGGGCACACACCTCCAAGGAAGATTAACATGGAAAGCACACTTTAAAGCCACGAAAAATAAAGTAATGCAACACTTTAATCTTTAAATCTCGCATACTTAACAGGAAAATAAAAACTCATTTACACACGTAGTAAAGAATAACAGCGGCATGCACACAGGAAGACTACACAGGATAACACCTATACAGTGTGGAAACAAAAACTAGCCGCTGCAGCACTTTAGACATAGGGCGAGTAACCCTAACAATTTTAAATTTAAAATTTAGAAAAACATTCTAAAGGATTTTAAAATTAGAACTAAAGATTTTATAGTGCTACTACAGGAACGTAAAAATTAATGTGTGTAAAATAATCTACAAACCAGACAGATTCAACAAAGTAGATGTTGATAATAACAAGGAAAGTGTTTCAAATGTTAAATTTTGGGCTGGGTGCAGTGTGACAGCAACGTNAACAAACAAATTGATGTGCCAAACCTTATTAAGATCTTAGACTTTGTTTTAAGCATCCCAGGCTCAAATGCCCATACTGAAAGAATTTTTTCACTGATGAGCAATAAATGGACTAATCAGAGAAATCAAAGCAGTTTAGAACTAATTAAGTCAGAGCTAATGGTAGCAATTAATTATGACTATAGTTGTAAAGAGTTTTTTACATTTGCACAAGAAGATAAAAAATGCTTAGTTCTGCAGCATCAATGGACAAATACATATAGGCTAGGACTAAGAAACATGCAAATTTGTAACATTTATTCCATATTGTGACCTGTATATTATATACAATGTAAATTAATTGTTTTGTTTAATATTATCCATTCCACAAACGTTTGCTGGACTGATGCTGCGCCGCTAAAAATGTGCAAAATTTGTCGTGACTAAATCTCCCTTAAATTCGTGACCGAAAGTTGGTCACCCTAACTAAAACTCCCTTAAATTCATGACCGAAAGTTGGTCACCCTAATTAAGATATGGCATCTGCTGTTCTCAGCCTGAAGTGACAGAGGCCTTGTGTATAATGTATATAAGTATATCATTTATTTTACTATGTATTTTATATGCAAAACTAACACTATATATATAGGTAAGTCAATAATTATCTGCAATGTAGCTATAAATTTTATTTCAATACAAATAGAAAACTTACATTAACATCATTTTTCAACATAGTCCCCTTGCTTTTCAATGCACTTGGTCCATTGTTGCACAAGCTTCCTGAGCCCTCAGAAAAGAAGGTTTTTGGCTGAGCAACGAGCCACGCAAGCACCGTTTCCTTCACTTCTTGGTCCGAAGTGAATCGACGGCCCCTTAATGCCTCTTTGAGTGAACCAAACAAGTGGTAGTCTGAAGGGGCGAGATCAGGACTATACGGAGGATGAGCCATTACATCAAACTTGAGTTTCCGGAGGGTTTTAGCAGTGTGGGCAGCAGTATGTGGATGGGCATTGTCGTGCAACAACACAACACCCTTCGACAGTAGTCCTCGGCGTTTGCTTCGAATTGCAGGCTTTTTAGCCTGTCAGTAAGCATTTCACTGTAACGAGCACTGTTTATTGTTGTGCCCCTCTCCTGATAATGTTCCAGTACTGGACCTTGTGAGTCCCAGAAAGCTGTAAGCATCAGTTTTCCTGCAGATGGTTGGCTTTTGAACTTTTTCTTGCTGGGTGATTGTGGATGTTTCCATTCCATACTCTGCCGTTTACTCTCCGGCTCGCAATGATGGATCCATGTTTTGTCACCAGTGATGATTCTGTCTAAGAAGACGTCACGTTCGTTGCCATAGCGATCCAAATGTTGTTAGCAGATGTCCAAGCGCGTTTGTTTATGCAACACTGTGAGTTGTTTTGGGACCCATCTTGCACAGACTTTATGAAACCCAAGTCTGTTGTGGATGATTTCGTAGGCAGAACCATGACTGATTTGCAGACAATTTACCACTTCATCAATAGTCACTCATCTGTCTAACAGAACCATGTCACGTAGACGCTCAATGTTGTCCTCATTTGTGGCTGTGGATGGTCGTCCGGCTCCTTCCTCATGCGTAACAATTGTGCGACCATTTTTTAATTTTTCAGTCCATTTGTAGACACTCCGTTGCAGCAAAAGCCTCTTCCCGTATTGTGCTGAAAGTCTTTGATGGATTGCGGCCCCTGATACACCTTCTGACCACAAAAACTGGATCACTGAATGTTGCTCTTCTTTGATGCAAACAGAAAATGAAGCAGCCATGATTAACGGCAAGGCAGCGACGATGGAACTGACCTAGTAACATTAAACCTGCGCAGAAATAATGACAAGGAAACCACACATGGCGATGCTGTGCAAAACTACAGTGCTGCCAACAGAAACAGAAACAGAAAGACAACTGCATTGCGGATAATTATTGACTTCCCCTCATACATATTGAAAATTGATAGAGTATAAATGATTTACATTGCTGACTACTGTTCTGACAAGGGAAAGACCTGTCCCCTTGTCAGAGAGGTCACTCTGTATGGAGAAAACAGTGGCTGTCAAATAGTAATTAAAATGTGGTCATGAGCCTCTGATGGAGCTCAACATGAAGATGGAATGACAGACTGACCATTGTTTGCAATGTGACTTTGACTTGGTTAGCCGATTACTCTGCTTGCCACCTGCTTTCACGCTGGTATCTTGCTCGGCTTGCTTGACCCTAAAAGTAGAGGCAATATATTCCTCCAAAACTTGGGTTGACTTCAAACGGGTTACGATATTATATCCCAGAAAATATACTCTTCTTGATTTAGTTAGTTTCAAAGTCCTCACCTCACGCTATGAGATGGCAAAATTGGATTAGGCGTTCTATTCTGCCATCTCTGCAACTTACATACGCAATGATGAAACGGGTAGACACTGCAGCACAGGCAGTAGAAAGGTTTTTGATGCAATCCAGTTATTCATATAAACATCCAGTTCACCGAGGATAAGGAAAGACATGGACACTTTGTTTCCGTGATAATGACATTTACTGGAGAACTAAGTACAGGGTGGGCCAGACTCAATTAGGCAGTTTTTGGTCATTAATAACTAACTATATCCAACAACACACAGGATAATGGGAAAGTACCTTTTGTTGTCGATAGATGGCAGCATCATACAGTATGCTGTGAACGAGGTCAATACTCTGCCTACTTAGTGCGCATCGAGGAAACGTCATGGCCGGTAGATGGTTGTCTGTCTATATGGGAAACCCATCCACATTAATCTCTATCTCACTTCCAGATCCTGCCACAAAGAATCCAATAAAAAAGGCTGTACACATCAGAGAGAGTCACTGATCCAAAGAAGTATCCTGCCTCTGTTGCTTTTCTACCCTACATCAGTGCGACCTTTAACTGCACTAGCAGGTTGCTGCTCAGACAGAAGTCAGGTGTTCTCCTTAAAAGGAAGATGGTGTTATTTTACTAGCTGTGGTAGATAACTTGGGATTGAAGATGCCAGGTATGTACAAAATTCACTACAAGTGTACAGATCGGATTTTCCTTTCAGCTAAGAATCAAGGAGCACTACTGGCACATAAATCCCAATCAGGCAAATAAGACAGCTGTGGCAGAATACAGCTTCAGTCCACTCCAGATCAGACCATAGAGGCCTTAGGGGCCACTGAGTTTGAGTTACTTCCCATTGACTAGAACAGGGAGGAAAAATTTGGCTGGGGTAAATCATGGAAACCTGTCCTCTACTACTTGAAGGAACACAGGAAATCTTCTGTAGGTATAGCCCAAACTGGGCTCTCCAACATGACCCACATCAGGATCTCTTGAAAAGTTCCTTTTTTAGAGTCTTCTCCTATTCTTTTCATCCCTAAGCAGGGCTTGAGGTGGGGTGGGATGCGGCAGGATGGCATCCCTGTTCTTTTCTAAATGGCTTAGAAGCATCCCATTACTTCTTTGGCAGTAAATGCAATGTACAATTATGTCTATGAATTAAAAAGAGAAAACCATCCTGGTTCTATTTTCATTCCACCTCAAGCACTGTCCCTAAGCATTTGAGATGAAGCACAGGTGCACTTGCATTCTGAATAGGGGCTCTCTCATTGTACCCTACAGCCTAATCAACTCTACCTGGTGCATGATACTCCTAGAACAAAGTATTATCCAGTTTCCCCTTACAACTTCCTCCTCTTCATTCTTTTTCTCTTAGTTTTCCTTAGAATTGTCTATTCTCTCTTTTCCTCCTAAATTCTAGCCCATGCTTTCTGAGTGGCAAAACAACCCTTCAAGGCCCCTGTCTCCCACTGGTACACTTGCTGCCTTGGTTTGTACCCTCCCTCTCCCTACAGTAAGCACTCTCTCTTCCTGAGCATCTTAGTTACCAAAGTGGTGAAAAATGAAACTGTGTTAGTAAGTGTCACAATCCTGCCAAGGTGGCTTATGATTTACTTGGGAAGGCTCTGTGGCAGAGTGGACAGCTGGACCACGATTAACCTCAAACTGTTTCAGGCACTCAACAGAGCAAATTACGTTACAAGCCCTCTGCTTGTTCTGTTATGTTGATGGCACTTTTGTAAACTGAACCCATGAACAGAAGTGAAGAATTTCCTAAACCATCTGAATGGTGCCCATCAGAATATCCAGTATTAATTAGTATCACAATTCTTCTGTCATAAGGGTGGAGGCAGCAGGTACCTCCGAAACTTTGGATCCTAGCTTCCAAATTATATGGTACCACAATCCACAAGACCATCATCTGAATTCTCACCACTGGGAGAACCTCAAACTTCATCACAGGTCAAGTTATGTGTAACTTTACAAGTGCTATTAAGATTATTCTTGTATATGTAAAACCCAAATTAATGTACATAATTACAACTTTCAAAATATGCATTTCGAAAGTCAATTTTTATACATTTCATTATAAATAAAATTTGAACATCATTCAATAGTTGATGCCTCCCAGATTTGGGGCTGGAATTTCTGGAAAGTGAATTTGTTTCTGGACTCTGGCAGAATATGATCTGAAATAGAAAAGTTCTGGATTTGCATTCGTCCTAAATGATTTCTTTAGTATGTGACATGTATGGTCCTTACATAGACCAGATGAATCTGTCTACAAACATAAACACTCACATTATGTCCGCTTGGTTATAACACTGCATAGTCTGGTGACTGGGTACCAGAATTTCAGAGGAACATACTGCTTCCATCTTCAGGGTGACAAATGGTAAAATTTCCCCTGTGCTTAATCAATTATGCACCATGCCATGAAGACCTGTGGTAGAGTGGAAATTTAGCTTCATCATTCTTAACCTCAGTACTAAATGGAGGCGAGTGGACTGCTTCATGCTCCTTCCACTTTATCCATGTGGAAAGGCACCTGACAACTCTTGGTGAGGAGGCTGGTTCCTAAAAAAAATTGCTAATGAAGAAATTGAATGTACACAGAATGGCCACAATGTGCCACATTTTATTTTTTGTCACACAAAGAGACAATCTTGGGAAGACTGAAACAACAAACAAAGGAAATCAAGTTTTATTTTTACTGGCTGTTACTTCATCAATTTCTTGTTAGCAGGTACATACACTGATTACCTAATATTTCCTTTTAATAACATATCATTTACACATGTTTTATACATGTGTTTGCATAATTAGCAATTTATTTATGTACATATTTTTGTCATAATCAATATGTAATATTTGCTAACTACATAAGCCTCACGTTAGAGATTTACAAACTTGAGAAGATTTCTGAGGTGAAAACCCTGCTCAATCATCATGTACTTGAGTTCATGAATTGCAGTGTTGCTATTCTCATATGCATCCTCATAATTAAATTCACTATTTCAGCTAAATATCCAGGAAATGTTCCAGATTCAAAACTTACAAAAGAAGAAACATAAAACCTCCTAGGTGATATGATTATTTTTTGTAAGGTACCATTTCTTTCAGCTCCTCTTGCTTATAGTTATAGAGAGAACATAAAATATTTCTTTCCTACTGAGAAAAAAAATACAATGACTTTGATTAATTAAGTTACTGGACAACTGTCTTCCATCCCTATGAATGTCTGAGCCCTTAGTCTGTGCCTTTTTACTTTGCATTTTTACATTTCAATTAGATTCAGGTTCCTTTGCTTCTTTACAGTTATGAATCAGCGGTGCAGTCCAAGCACTGCCACAATGCTCTCCATTTATTTCATGAACAATGATAGCTGAAAGGTATCTTATATTCCCTTCTGAATAAGTTACAATTGATGAAAAGAAGGTCCCATTGGCATGACTGTGAATCTTGTAATTAAAGAACTGCTTCCTGTAACAAACTCTCACAAATTCCCACGTTGAGATTGTTCAGCTTCAATAGCCTCAAATAGTGCCTTGAAATTACCGGCTCCAAAACCCTGGAACAGACATTCAAAATTTTACTGATAACAGCTAAAAAATATATGGTAAAATAAAAATACTAATATTGGAATCCTGTATGTTATAGGCTATCTCATTTCAGAGAAAGCCATTCCTTAGTAGAAGAAATAAAACTTAAATGGAATTATTTAGAAGAAATAGTGAAGTTTAAAGTTTTCTTACGGTAAAGGGCAATGTGATTCATGCATATTTAGTCCATAATGTCACTGCTATTACAAAGTGATTTACAGGCATTGCATCACTGATTGAAGAAATGTCAGCTCTACACACTGCATTACTATTCGTACAGCAGTTCTATGTTGCTCAGAAAGTAATTATGTAAAGTACAGGGTTTGTCCGAAAAGTAATGTCAGTGAGTCGATTAAAGAACTTTTATGGATTAGATCGGTGCAACACATTAAAAGGCTTCAAAATAGGCTTCTTCTGCGTCGATACATCGATTCCAGCGAGATTTCTAGGCATCGAAGGCGTCATGGCAGGCGTCCTCCGGAATGTCCTTCAGAGCCTTGGTGCAAGCCTCTTTGACTTCGTCAACTGTCCCAAAATGATGTCCTTTCATGGGAGTTTTCAAGCGCGGAAACAAAAAGAAGTCTGGGGAGCCACGTCAGGACTGTAGGGCGGCTGGGGAACCGTTGGCACCTTTGAATCGGTCAGGAAGCGGGTCACGAGGAAGGCGGTGTCGGCTGGCGCATTGTCATGGTGAAGTTTCCAATCGTCCGCGATGTCGGGCCGGATGCGATAAACCCTTCTTTTGGGTCTCTTTAGCACTTCCACGTAGAATTTGGCGTTGATGGTTGTACCATGTAGTACAAACTCACATTTTCGTCGGTGGTGCTTGTTGATGGCCGTCCAGCGCGGGCTTCATCGCCGACCTATTCACGGCCTTCTAAAAAGGCCTTGTGCCACCGGTAGACCTGACATTCCGACAAACAATCGTCACCGAAGGCCGTCTTTATCATGGGAAAAGTTTCCACTGCAGACTTGCCAAGTTTCACACAAAACTTGATGGCAATCCTTTGTTCCAAGGAGCGCTGCATTGCGGCTTGCACGGGAGACAAAAACGAGTTTCACGGAAAAGCCTTTCGTCACTCTCAGGAAGTTCGGAGACGACTAAGCGACCGCGGGTTCATAAGCTGACTTCCCCCTCCACCGAGCCCAACCGGTCTGAGAGTGCTGCGACGTATAGTCACTTCACAATAAAATAACTGACATTACTTTTCGGACAAACCCTGTATATCAGTGAAGAAGTTTTCAGGTCTTGATCAACAAATTAAAATAAGTGTAGACACCATTCTACATAGGCCTTCTGTGAAGATACAAGTATATTTTCTAATGAATATGTTTCCGTTCATTTCCTACTAGGGTCTGTTACTGAGGTGTCACAGCATCAGGCCATGATTATATTATTCTGTTGCTAAATACACTTTAGATTAACAGGAGGCATATATGGATAGCCTGCAAAAATACAGCCCACTGCAATCAATAGTAAATTGAAAATATTCTTTCAGGAAACCTATTTGTTATAGTGCATCTGATTCCACAGAAAGCCATTCTTTATTATAAATAGTAGACTGCCTATTCATTCAATATCTGGTAAATAATTTATGTTCATGCAACACTCAACAATTCAGTATATGGACAAATCTGACTATATGATGAACCCTTGCTCCATCAGCAGACAGACATCAAAATGGATGAAAAATCTATTTTTCCATCTCACGAACTTTTCAATTCTGAACACTTTTACCCTCCTCTTCTTGTGGTTCAAAATTATCACGCCAACATTTCAGACATGCAATGTTCAGGGACTGAACACAGATGAGGTGAAGGGCACCTCGATCACAGACAGCTACATGGCTAAGACGAATCCCTTCCACCAGTCAACTAAGACAGCACTCTTCATAATCACTGCTGTGAGAACCTCAAATTGAGCATCATACGCATGCACTATATTATTACATTTAATATAGAATGGTGATTTTTCACTTAACATACTTTGTGGTTGTGCCTCTGAATGACTTCAAGGAAAAGAGTTGGCCGATCTTGCATGTTCTTGGTAAAGATCTGTAGCAGATAACCATTTTCATCATAGTCCACAAGGATTTTCAGCTCCTGTATTAATAATAATTGCATTCAATGAATTCAGAGTTAGTCAAAATGACTGTAGAATATGGAATATGTCATATAAATACAAAAGCGTATGTATAGTACCGATGGGGTATAGTACAATCTGCCTGCTACTTCCTTGCTCTAAGGTCCATACGCCCACCTCAGAAACCTGTATTTGAGTGGCCTAGATCTAAATCTTTCCCTTAGAGTGAACAAGCAACATTTACACCCACATAAATCAAGAGATAAAATGAGAGTTTCATGCTCTTTAATCTTCATCTCACCAGATAGGAGACAACAGATAAAAAAATTCTAAACTGCTAACAGTAAAAATATGGGATTTGCAGAAAAGGTAACAGGAACAAGAGACTTATATTATCATTACTTTTGGATTCATGTAGAATAAGAAATTTAATAACTCTTCTACATTCTTCTAATTTTATGTGGAAGGGATGAACACATTCTACAAATTTTAAGAAACTTTCAAATTCATTAAAATATACCTTAGGAGAAAATGGTGAACATTTATGTCCTTCAAGTCTATGACTATCATTGAGTAGAGCGCAAAATTGTACTTCAGCATCCTGTTGCATTAGTGTATCATTTTATGCACTTACTTCCATCTTTAATGCAACTTTACAAATACTCTTGAACTTAATATAAGATTAAAATTAAAATTAAACTGCTACAGGTTTTGGCAATACTTGACCATCCTCTGGCAACTGTTCGCATGTTGAAAGGAGAAAAAAAACTCCATCAGTCACACTGGACAGAATTAATTAACCTTTAGTGCTACATTGCATTGGATCTTAAGTTAAAATATTCCAGTGTTATTCCATTTTTGCCACTCACTCATTAAAATATATTTGCTTCAGAACATCACTTTTTTTATTTCTACCTTCTACATGTGCCATATATTTTTTTATTGCTAGTGGGGTGGGACTAGGTCCCTTGTACTGCGGCCACTTCTGGCCTATTGTACCAGCCCCAGATGACAGGTGAGGGTGATTGTGAAGCAGTTGGTGGAATGAAGGTTGGCAGGGGAAACCGAAGTGCTCAGAGAAAACCTGCCCCAGCGCCACTTTGTCCACCACAGATCCCTCTTGATCAGACCCAGGATCGAACCCGGGCTGCCGCGATGGGAAGCCAGCGACTAACTGCTTGAGCTATGGTGTGGCCAAATTGTGCCATCTATATTTTTGTGTTGTTTTGTTTGGCCCTGTTATGGCCCAAATTTGAGATTGAAGAGGGTATGGTATTACCCAAAAGCTAGAGACTTGCGAAAAGCGTTTCGCAGTTCTTACAGTAATTTGTAAACACCAGGACTGGCAATTAGGTTAAGNTAAGTAAAGGTAAAGTTGTCCCCGTGCTCAAAGAATTAAGCACTACACCGTGGAGGTGTATGGGGGAGTGGATGTATGGAGCTCAGAGCCGGTCTGGACGATTTGGAAAAGAGAAAATTCTTGAGCCTACCAGGACTTGAACTCTGACCCCTCAGTCATTCAGCCTGTAGCCAGTCACTATACCAACTACACTACCCTGGCTCATAATAATATAATGTAATATAATATAATAAAACTTGAATAATCTTTATAATTTCAACACACTGCCCCATAAACATGTTGTATATTTGATTTGTAGTTTACATAAGGCTTACCTGTAAGATATCCAGATCCTCAATCAAATTAACCTTGTCTGCTTTCAGCCTCTCTCTGAGAATATCATAATATGTATCAGGAATTTGTAGGAATTCTTGCCCACGCTCACGTAGGTTTCGGATCTGCAAATATTGTTTCCTCTTTTCATGAACAAAATCAGGTAAAAATAGTACAGATGTAAGTTCATGAGCTAATTAATGTTTGTTACACTAACTATACACATATATGGACATATTTTCCTTTCTTTGACTGTATTTACCCGTTCATATCTGCATCTCTGGTCATCATATCCCTAATTATACCTTTATATCTTGAATAATTTTTGTAGAATGAGTAGTTCATGTAATTTCACATCCATTTAAAGCAACATTTTTGCTGAAACTGTACTCCTATTACAACCATGCACAAAATATGTAATCAGTTCTGCAGTTATAAGTTATGAAATTAGCAGTTCTACTGCTAATGGTGCTTAATGAACATATTCGTGTGTACATAAAACACTTGAGAGCTTCCTAACCAGAAGTATACTATTTCATTATGAATGTGGCTAAATTTTACAACCTATCAACTCATGATCAAGAAGGTCCTACACTTTGAGACATGCAAATATTAGCTGTAATTGTTTTGTCGGGATTTCCTTTCCTTCTGTCTTTGTGTTATTACATACAAGAACTGCTAATAAATCCTTGAAATTATCGAAAATCCCAGACCCAGCAGTACAACGCATGCAGTAACAGGAGCAAAACACAACACAGAACACGATACACAAATATACATAGGAAGAATGCACACATAAAAGAGGATTGGCGTAATTAGCGTGTTTGAGTGCAACGTAGGAAGAATCCTGAAAAGTTTTATTATTTAGAATTCATCGTCCTATATGACGAATACAGATTTTAGTCATTTTAGAATGAAGACATTATGGCATGCAGTACAATAGTTTAACGTGCATAAAGACACCTGAAGATGGCACATTAGTGCTGAAACATGTAGTGTGGAAGTGAAGAATAAGTGAAAAAGTGTATACACTGTAAGACGGTCAGCATAAACTATAGTCGAAAATCCCATGCACTTGGAAACAGCGGTAACAAATCAAATCTATACATATGACAAAATTAAGAGCACAATACATAATCTACCATTCAGTTCACAAAGTATTACTTTTGCATTTGTATTCTAAAGTATAAAGATTAATATGTATAATTATAACTTGGCCCATTTTTACATGCGTGCAAAACTTAATCTTCCTTTGTGGCATGAAACTGAGGTGATGAGAAGAATCTTTGGATCAAAGAGAGATGAAGTGAAAAAGAACTCAATAAAATTACATGATATGGAGCTTTACACTTTGCGCTCTTCATCTAATAATTCTAGTGTGATTAAGCCAAGATGAATGAGACAGGTGAGAATTTACAAAAATGGGAGATATGCATGTGAATTTCAGTTGAAAGCCTCTAAAGAAAAGATCTAAAGACAGTTGGGAATTAAATATTAAAATGGATGTTATGGATATGCTTTCAAGGATAAAAAACAAACAGAGCAGGCTTAATATTGGGATTATGTAAACATCATGCAGAGCCTTCTGGTTCCATAAATGCAGGGTATTTATTGACAGGACAAATAATTATCATATGACTATAATCTACAAAGACCATGGAGTTAGTCAGCTATAATTCTGTAAACCACAGGCTCCATGGCAGGTACAAAACTGAAGTGTTTTCTGTTCTTCTTTATGCAAGCTAGCCAACACTGTTGCAGATGTGGCAAATTATATCACACATGCTTGAAGCTAGGAACCATTCCCTGTGAAAGTTCACTGCTACTTGTCTCCAGGGATTACCAAGCAGATCAGCTCATTGCAAAATATATCTCACTTATGCTTCAGAATTACCAGGTTAAAATCTCAATCATATTTTGAGTTTCTACTGATTACTTAATCAGAAAGAACACGTTAAAATGGTGTCTGAAGTTACTGCATTAAACTGACTTACAGCACCAATAATATCCTGTGTGTTGAGGGCTATGTGTTGCACGCCTGCACCACCATAGTAGTCTACGTACTCTTCAATTTGACTCTTCTTCTTGCCTGGTGCTGGCTCATTTATTGGAATCTGCACAAAGTTAAGTTAGTGTCAAAATTTCTGTTTCAACTTTACTTTCCTAGTGTACATGTGTGACAAAGAAACATCAAACAATATGATCATATGTATCAATAAGAATCAGTATAAAAATGTAAATATTCCAACATTAACATCATTCACAATTATTTTGATCGTAACTGAGAGAAAAATCGTCACTTTTCATAACCAAGGGAAGTTACAGAAATTTAATCTGCTTCAGTCTCTATGTTGGGGTTCAGATTAGGCTATTTAGAAATGACCAGAGATCAGAGATTCAGAGAGCGAAAACTGTGTACTTAACTAGCTATAAATTATTCACACTAACTAGTGATACTTTACAGGTATATCATAAATATGTAAACATATGATTATTTGTAATTAATTATGAGAGATTATCCCAAATTGTGACTGGTGTTCATGACATATACAGTCACATGTTACACTAAAACTGATGTAGGCCCTACTCTCTTAATCAGTAATAAATACAGTAAATATTAATACATGAATGAATTAGAGAATCAAAATATACATTTTTCTCAACATGTTCATATATTTATTTAAATATATTACAATATTTATATAATGCATGAAAAAGTTAAAATTCATAGAGGGTCATGTTATTAATAATGAGTGAATATTGCTGAATAGCAGATTGACTTTTATTGCAGGTGTTTCTGGTCCATGAGGCATAGTTGCTCACTCCTGGCCCAACTGTTTTTCACAAAGATCTGACTCTATCAGAGGTAAAATAATCCACACTGAATCTTGCCAGTGTTAAGCCTGAAACTTTGGACTTGAGAGTCCAGCACCCCCCCTAAGTCCTACATGCTTGTAACGCAAACAAAAACAAACTGAAGGAAAGAAATATTCATATATGTAAAATTAATTACAATGGTCCTGTGGAATAAAATAATTGAATTACTTGTAATTGCTCCATACCTTGATTGTCTCTTCCCAGTTTGTCATGACAATGGATCTCAAAGAAGAATACTGTGTGTGGATCTGTGAGTCATCCACAGACCAGAATCTGTGGAACATGAGGTTCCTCTCATACCTGAAATAAGCTAATAATATTAGACTACATTTTATATTATTTGTGTTGATTTAATTTGTATAGATTCTAGAAAGCATATGATTAAGAAAAGTAACTTCTATAAACTGTAGCTGGCAGAAATGCAGTATGCTTAGGGGAGATATAAAATGTATAAAAAAAAGTGTATCACTTTAGAGATGTAAGCATAAATTGGAGGATAATAAAATTGACGTTATAAAGCAGGATGTGTGGCTGAAGACTGGATTATCTAGGCTCTTGGTACAGTCCAGCAGTGATCTGTACTTAATATGTCATACTAGCTCAGGTTTCTGGAAAGATGATAAATTTCTTATTCAGCTTAGCAGCTATAAGTCTTCAAAGGATTCTGCTCCTGAAGTGAGCTGGTTGGTTCATTGGTTGCTTAGTCAGTCACCCCAATCAGTAAGTCAGTAAATTGGCCACTCAGTCAGTCACTCATCCTCAGAAACAGCAATTTATATTTTATACATACCACTCTGCTACAGGTACCATGCCATTGTCTGGTTGATTCCCAACTATATGATCCACAAAATCCAGTTTTCCTGGTGGCCTGAACATAATATACAATAATGTAAAAACATATGATTCAAAATAGAATTCAGCATTTTAGAAATCTGAAAAACAGAGCAAAGCAAACCTTGAGACTTTGAGACAACACACTCATTAGCAATACTATCATATGTTCTTCAAGAAATGCATCCTGTTGTGTTATTATCATATGGTCCTATGCCTAATTCATTTTTCCGTATGAAGGTATAATTTTTCTTTTCTTATCCGCATGTGGGGTTGTGTTAAACGTCTCATATAACTTACCATAGGAGGAACAGAATAAAAGGTATTATTGAATAACTTGGGATTACTAATCATTTGGACTTTGTGCATCATCTGGTACTCTAAAGGACACAATGCTTCAGAAACTTGATCAATTTCTGTCATCAGGATAAATGGTGGGAGGCATTTAATCTATAATTTCGAACATCCCAAAAATAAGCAAATACAATATATTTACACACTTTTATTGGGACTTCTAAGAAGTGAGCTCTCTAACTTAAGAACAATTAATAACAATACAGGGTAAAAACTTATATCATATTAATGTGCTGAGAATACTATAGGTTAATATCCATTTATGCTTTCAAACCATTTCTGTGAAGCCAGTGTACCTACTACTTCTTTTCTGTTTCAAAATGACTTCCTCTAATAACACTGCTATAATAGTGATATTTGGTGGCCCAAGGTAGTGACTAGGAAGAATGCTACCTCGTGGGTTGTGACATTACATACTCTGGAACAAATATAAAGATATTCTGGAGGAACATACTCTCTCCATCTTCAGAGGCAAAGAAGCAAAAAATAAACCAAGCAATCAAAGCAGCAAGCAGGACTTTTTTCCTGGCAAGATGGAGGCAGTTAATTCTTCTAGAACATCAGTAACTTCTCTCACACTACACAGCATCACATCCCAGAAGATTATTACTACTATAATAGCAAAATCATTGTCATAACGTCATTTAATCGTTATAGACAACATGAATCCATAGAGAAACTTGTAGGTGTCATACAATATTCATGTAACCAATTGTGATGGTCTGATGTGCAGTTCAATGTGGACACTTGAGGAAATTTTCTGTCCCTTGGTAGTCCATTCCCTGTCAGTGACATTAATTACAGTGTGAATAGACTATAACATTGTGTAAAATGATGGCAGTGCATACACACTTGCATGCCTATGAATCTTCAATACTGACAGAGAAATTACAAACAAATAATAGGAATTGGAACAGAATGTGTATCCCTCTTGCTAGATACACCATGCTATAATTATTTNTTTATTCATTCAAGTGTTCTATACTCCAATTCTTACTGTTTAGTGTTTTTTAAAATTATCTGTATATATATATATATACAGATAATTTTAAAAAACACTAAACAGTAAGAATTGGAGTATAGAACACTTGAATGAATAAACATAAGTTTCTCAAGGAAATGATGATTGAAACAGAAATATGACACCAGTATGGCATGATTGTATGTGTGGATATTAACAAGAGCGCCTTGGCCCAAAATTAGGAAGGAGTGGCATGGTCAAAACCTAATTCAAGGTACTGCAACCTGGCATTCACCAGAAGACACCAAGGAAAATAAAAAAACTTGAAACAGGACAGCTAGTAGCCTGGCTAAGACCTGAACCAGGTATCTTGCAAATAAAGAACTAATGTCTTACTGCAATACTAATCTGCATAAATTGCTCAAATTCCTGTAAGACATAGAATTCTGTATGTTACAAATTAAAAGGATGTCCCCTACTTTTTACTTTCTTTCTCCCCCCTTACATCAATACATGTTTAGAATTTTGTCTTTTTTTTTTCAGAGGAACTCAATAATGATATATTGACCACTTACAATTTTGTAGACAGCACATCTTTTTGCAGTGGGTCCTTGTAGCCAGGGAGGAAAATTCCATTATAATTAGAACGCTCAACAAATGTGTGAGTTGTGTCACCATACTGAAACAAATGTCATAATTACTGCTATTAAAAGATTCATAAACATCTTGTATTCATAACTTAAAAATAGTAGGAGTCCCCTTGTGATTGCTCAATAAATATTATGTTAATTATTCAGTCAGAACTCCACTGTATTTTCCCTCCACCCTGTTCTCAAGCACCCTCAATCTACATTCTCCCCTTTATCTGGCACAGAATTTCAAAGCAAATGATAAAATTGAGGAAATTTTCCTTTTTAATCTTTACACTTTACTCTCTCCTCTTAAATCTTAACACAATTTTTTTTATAAAGCAGATGAAAAGACAAAAGATGATGAACTGAATGGTGCTAAGTATACCCAAACTGAATGTGGTACAAGAAGATCTGTATCTTGAATAATATAATTTTTAATGTACTCATTTTTATTTTGGTGATCTGCCGCATTTCTATTCTGATGGTGAAAAGGACATTGGAAAAATCTTGAAATTATGAAATGTTGGAAATACATAAATATCCAACAGAATATTCTTTATTTTGAAATTACAACTGCAGGAACTGCAGGATTGGAACACTCAATAAGAAAATATAGACATTCCACCACACCATGTTCATGTGGTATATTATTCAGTTGCCACACAACAGTATAGGCATTATTCAGTTACCTGGTGCATGAGAAAAATCATGTGGTTTTACCTTTGGTGTGCTTGAAAGTTATTTTACATAAGCTTTTGGAGACCTGTCACTACTGTTCTTATCCATTTCAGGCTATTTACATCCATTATATACAAAATTTGATGTGTTCTCTGTTGAGTACTACATAAGGAAAATAGAACACATATGATTACATCTATGTTCACATGTTTTATGTGTGTAATTAGTGGATACAGTGCTGTGTGTAGCAATATTACAGGTGTCTGTGTACAGATGGAGAGGAATAAAAGTGGGAAACTCAGTTCTAATCCTGTAATCCCTTATAACACTGTGTAGAACATAATTAAGTTGCTCATCTTATGAGAACAGTGGTGTCATAAGTATTTAGTTGTAAAAAATTGGTTGACAGTTATAGTTAATTACAGAATTCTACAATTCAACTCAATTATGATTTTTTGGTATACAGTATGTCCAAAAAATTTAAACAAACATTACATTTGTTTGGAAGTCTTTAAAACAACATATTTACATTTATACTATTGCATTAGCATGTGGAAAATAGAATCATAGGCACACCTTGTGAAGGAACAAATTATAAGTAATTTAAGATGTTTAGTTTTAGGGGCAAAGACATCAAAGTCCATTCCATAAGTTAACAGATATTTCACAGATGAAACATACTCTTTTTAACTTGATCTACATGAAAATGTTTCTTTTTCAACTAGACTTATCTTTCAGGTGTTATTAATGACTCAAAGGTTTATGATGGAGAAGTCCTGCATTGTTAGAGAATTGATGTATTTGTGATGCACAAAATACTAACCGTCTGTACTCTTGCAAACCGAACTGTTCCAGTTTCATCACTTTCTTCCCAAATATCTTTTATCATTTTTGCCCCACGCTCTTTAGCTCTCTGAAAAGAAATTACATTCACATAAAAATAATTTCATATAAATAAAATTGTGTAAGATTAAGCATCAGTTAATTATGCCATTCTGATATCTAACAAATCTTAAATTAATGCTGTGGCAGCAGAACCCAAACTTTCACCATTAATACCAAAGCCCACCACTCCAAACAATCCTGAACTAGTTACATCCAATTTCTCATTGTCATAACTACCTCCCTGAGATCCATCTTAAAATAATTCCCCACCACCTCCATCTCAGGGAGATATTTTCCAAAAGGTCTCCTCACCAAAATTTTGCCTGTATCTATTGTCCCTCACATCCTAGCCACATACCCAGACCATAGCAGAATCACAGATTTCTCTATCATAACATTTCTAGGTGACCTGAACAAATCATGAAGTTCATCATAATAAATCACCCACTTCACTCTTCCTAGTTCTCAATACCGTATTTATGCATGTATAGGCCGCGTGCGTGTATAGGCCACAGCACAATTTTCAGACAGAAATTATAGAAAAAATAATTTTCTTGGAATATTATTTCAGGAGTAGAACACCCTGTATTACTAATTATGAATATAATTTTTTTTTAATTGAAGTGTGATTTCGGATATAAGCCGCACCCCAGTTTTCCTCTTGAATTTTTGGCAAAAAATGTGTGGCCTATACATGTGTAAATATGGTACTTGCTGAGTTTGCCCTAATATCATATCTTCACTTCAAACTTATAAGTGGTGGCTTTCCCAGTAACTTCCCCACCAAAACTGTGCATACATTTATTGTCTCCTCCATCTCTAGGCTAACAGTGCTATGCTATTATGTGGGGGGAAACAACAACAACAACAAGTGAATAACACCAACTTACTTCAACAATGGAATCTAGATCTTCGACAGTGAAAGCAACATCTTTCACTCCATCTCCATGACGAACCAAGTGTCTTCCCATTTCACCACTGTATGGCTCGTATGCAGAAGTAAACACAAATATAATCTGGAGCAAGAGGAGATACTGTCAATGTAATGGTGCTTTCTTATAAGGAAACTGCATGTGAGGTAACTTTTCGTTACTACTATTGTGGATTAATCAGAGCAAAAGTGAGTGAAAAACCCCCATGGCATAACATAATGCAAATTTGTTTCTGTGCCTAAATGATGTGCCATGATGGCATACAGGAGGCACTGACATAAAGTTCCACACATTCTTTACCTCTGTTCTAGACACAGATGAATGGTCAATCACATGCTTGATTGATTTATTTAACATCCATAACTGTTACATTATGTACAATTGGACAAGTCAGTTTTTAAAAAAATATATGAGATTAAACATCACATCAAATGACTAATAATATAAAAAACCATAGAAAAATAACATAATAAGTCCTTTAAATATGATAAAACAGTGGATGAGTATAATAAGGCAACAAAAACTAAACTATAAATTACATGCAATAGCTAAAATAAATTACCTAAGTATCTTTGTTCTATTATTAAGCTAATTCTTGTAAAAATATTCTTGAAGGGAATAAAAAGCTTTGCACAACAAGTAATCCTTTAAATGCTCTCACTGTTTAGTTCTGGTACAAAATTGAATAAACNATGACGCTTAAAAACCTTGAACTCTTGAATACTTCTTATTTGAGAGGACAAGTTATTATACAATCTTATTCCCATGTTAATCACACTCCTTTTACAACGTGAGGTGTTACATGGNGTCATGACCTATGACACTGCCAAAAATTCTACATACCTTATCACTGACTTCCATCAATATACAGGTACAAAACACAATGATGTTCACATAGTGAACGATCCATTCTAGGTGTTATGACCTATGATACTGCCAAAAATTCTATGCACCTAACCGCTAACTTCCATCAGTATGCGGGCACAAAATACAATGATCTTCACCTCCACATCCTACAGGTAATTTCATATCATGGTGCCTGATAGCAGGGATGACTTTACTTTCATGTATGAGTTTTTGTACTGAGGTGTTTTAGAGCCCATTACCTTGTTCTGCCGGACCACATGAGCTGCAACCTTCCGGGAACCTGTCTCCAGTCCCTGGTAGGCAAGAGGTTCAAAACCAAGCCTCATGCAGTAGTAGCTCGCAGCCTACACATAGAAACAATATGCAGCTGTACTGGGTTAGGCCTACCAGCATCAAAGGTCACTTAATGAATTAAGAAATACAGGGAGATTACTTGCTGGCTTAAACAAATCACTACTTTTGCACTATGCACTGTCACTTCATTGTTTTCATCTATTCTGACAAGTCAGCGACAGGGATAAAAGGTATTCAAACGACTCAGTCTTGTGCTATGATAGATTTCCGTTGTGTAGGATATGGGAAAGTTTATTCATGAGCATTTAGAGTTTCTATATGAATCTTATGTGAAATGTAACTCTGCTAGAAAGTCAGGAAATTCTGGATGACGTTTGCTAGAATTTGATGTCTGCACAGAAAACACTACTCAGAATTTTGTTAATAAAGAATGAACGCCTGGCATAGTAAGAGACAGGAAACCAAATGTGAAACTGTTTACTGTAGAAGAGCTGGAAAAAATTAGAGATCAGCTTGAAATTTTGCCTTGAATATCTCGTAAGTGCCTTGCCAAACGTACAAGAGTATCAAAGGGATGACATCTACTACAAAGTTATTGAAACTACAGTCTTAAGAAACATAGTTATGCATACTTTGCAGCCTCTCACGACCGCGAACTTTATTCCAACGACACACACATACAATGGAAGTAATGCAACAATCGATGTAGTGTTCATGCACAGCAGAATGGTCATCCTTCGGCACTAATCTCTAAACAATCTCTGGGCAGGTCAGTTACCATGCGAGGACAGCCGGGCTAAGCAGCTGGGGTTATATTCCCAGGAAGAGCTGCATTTAATTTTCACCCCATAACCACACTGGTTCTGGTTAGTACGCCAATTTACACAGGGGTAAACAAAACTAGCCACCCCCTCTTTCCATGTAGAGGTAAGAATATATTTTATCTCCACGCCCTCTATACGCCTTTACGGAATGATAATAACACACAGTTTTATCTTCTTTGCCACGCGGAGAACGTCTTTTACTTGCATATTCTGGCAGTCAGGCATTGATTCTGAGTTAATCGAATTCTGTCGAATATTTTCTAAAATGAAAATTATGGACGGACAGACAAATTATGCGTTCATTCTGTGGAATTTGTGCAAAGAATGCATGCCATCAGATACAGATCTCATAAAGTTTTACAGCGTTTAATTGAGACACTTTCGTAATACATATTCTCGCATTTAAAGAAATATGAAGAAAACATTTTATTGAATGAGAAAGCCCGTTGCAAAAGTAAGTAGGTTTTATACAATGAGAAGCCCAAATATACGATATTTCCCGATGCGTTATCTTGTTAACATAAACTACCATCTTTCTGCCATTATTAGATTCTTAAACAATTACAATTACCTGCTTTGCGTTCCCGACCCAGAAGGTGAGATGATCGAAGTGCAGAAAACGTCCCCTGTCAGGCTGTAAAATAAGATAGCAGAAAGAGACATCAGTAACAAAAATCTAATTTAACACTGGTGCCTCTCGTGAACTGGGTTATCTCACGTCAATAGATACGGATCGAGTGTAGCAGTCTGCATTGTATTCGGAAAGTAAAGGATTTGATACGCGGCTCCGGGATCGTCTGTCTTGAAGCTCTAGTTGGGTTCCCAAGTACATCCAGGCATATGCTGGGACCGTACTTTCAGAATCCTGCAAAGTTTCTTGTTATGCATTATTCTAGAATGTTAACGTCATTTTTCTCGATTACTTTGTTTTCAAACACTTAAAATTCATGCTTTTCCCACCAAACAAAAGACCACTTCCATAGTCATAAGAAACTGGCAATTTTTCATTTTGTATATTCAAATTTTCAGCGACTTCAAAACCCAGTGGAATGATACAAGCTTTCGATCTTAACAATAACAAGCATTTCCAGAATGTATTCTCATTATATTTAATCATGAACTTAAAATATTTTTCCGTTGTGGTCATAACATACTATTATTTATTAAGATAACAGTAAATGAATGACTTAAAAATGATGAAATGTCACCTCAGAATCGCCTTGGTAACCGATCTGACAATCTTACCTTTGGACCCTTGTCCGTGTAAGTAGTCTGTAACAGAGGATGAAAGTAATGTTAAAATAACACTTTGCATTGACACTTGTTTTCTAATCATCACAATGAGTAAGTGTGTTTTAGTACAGACCTAAACGACTATTTTTACTTGGGTGCCGGATGGGGTTATTTCGAGGTGACCGTCGATCATACAATTTCGTGAGAAAACCTGTGTAGTTAAAAGCTTAACTAGCTACAAATTATTCGCACCAATTTAAATTGCTTTGTGGGTATCTGATAATTATCAGGTTATTATCGCAGTTTAGGATATTGTGTCGGAATTCATTATCAATTATAATTGACAATGAATTCCGACGCAATATCCTAAACTGCGATTGGTGTTCCCGGGGTGTTAAGGAACGCATTGAACCGATTATGGAGCGGACCCAAATCAAATTCCTAGTACCCAATTTTTTTAAAATGTAATAGATGAAACCAGTAGGTCATGAGTAAATCTGAAAATAACTGAAACTTATAACTTACTGGATTCTTCTTTTGGACAACAAAGAAATTCTAATGTGGGAAACGTGTACGTAACCAGCACGGATGCGTTCTGATTGCGAAATAGCATGGAAATTCTGTTATTTGATAAGTGCACAAAGGGCCTTGAGCATGCTGCGTATGAAATAATATATGAAGGTAAAAGCAAAGTTGTCTGTGTTGTTGAGCACCATGCCATTAATACGAGTGGGACAGTGTAGATCCATAAACTTTTAACTTCATCATTATATTCAGAGAAATGCTAAACTTCACGTTTCACTGGTTTTACAACCGGGGAAAGAGCCCTTGGTACTCATTCGATGGGAGGCTGGGTAGGTTCCAGAGCAGTGGTGAGGAGAAAAACTCTGCCCATGTCGGAAGTCTAATTCTGATCGTCCAGCCCATACTCAATCATTTTACCGAGCTATGTAAAATTGCAACGTGAGCGTCAGGTTACTTACTGCAGAGTTTATCGCCTGCATTAGGTCTTGAAGCAGCTAGGCATGGCTCCAGAAGTTTTATGATTATGATGTTGAACGTAGATATATGCATAATTAATTAAATTATGCTTCCTAGCCCTTTTGAGGTTGAAAGTGCTATTGCAAAATTGAAACGGTATAAATCGCCAGGTAGTGATCAAATTCCGGCAGAACTTATTCAAGCAGGAGGCGAAATATTACGTTCTAAGATCCACAATCTAATTACTTCTATTTGGCATAAGGAAAAATTGCCTGATCAGTGGAAGGAGTCTATTATTGTACCAGTTCACAAGAAGGGTGATAAAACTGACTGTAGTAATTATCGGGGGATATCACTGCTATCAACTTCATATAAAATTTTGTCCAATATTCTTCTTTCAAGGTTAAGTCCATATATAGATGAAATTATTGGGGATCATCAGTGTGGGTTTCGACGTAACAGATCAACTACAGATCAGATCTTTTGCATTCGTCAGATATTGGAGAAAAAATGGGAGTATGATGAGACAGTACATCAGCTATTCATAGACTTCAAGAAAGCCTATGATTCAGTTAGGAGGGAAGTATTGTACAATATTCTGATAGAGTTTGGGATACCCATGAAACTAGTTAGGTTGATTAAAATGTGTTTAAACGAAACGTATAGTAAAGTCCGTGTAGGTAAACATTTGTCTGATAAATTTCCTATCCAGAATGGTCTAAAACAAGGAGATGCTTTATCGCCACTCCTTTTCAACTTTGCCTTAGAATATGCAATTAGGAAGGTCCAGGGAAGCCAGGTGGGACTGAAATTAAACGGGACACATCAGCTGTTGGTCTACGCCGATGATGTGAATCTACTGGGTGATAATGTAGATACCATAAAGAAAAACACACAAACTTTAATTGACGCAAGTAAAGAGGTTGGTCTAGAAGTAAACACAGAGAAAACTAAGTATATGTTACTGTCTCGTCACCAAAATGCAGGGCAAAATCATGACATAAAGATAGGAAACAGATGTTTTGAAAATGTGGCACAGTTCAGATATTTGGGAACAACGATAACAGATCGAAACCTGATTCAGGAGGAAATTAAGAGGCGATTGAACTAGGGTAATGCTTGCTACCATTCAGTCCAGAACCTCTTGTCTTCTCGTCTGTTGTCCAAAACATAAAAATTAGAATATACAAAACTATAATTTTGCCTGTGGTTTTGTATGGGTGTGAAACTTGGTCTCTGATATTAAGGGAGGAACATAGACTGAGGGTGTTTGAGAACAAGGTGTTGAGGAGAATATTTGGACCAAAGAGAGATGAAATCGCAGGAGGTCGGAGAAAACTGCATAATGAGGAGCTTCATAACTTGTACTCTTCTCCAAGTATAATTAGAATGATCAAGTCAATGAGGATGAGGTGGGCAGGTCATGTAGCACGAATGGGGGAGACGAGGAATGCGTATAGGATATTGGTGGGAAAGCCAGAAGGAAAGAGACCACAGGGAAGACCAAGGCGTCGGTGGGTGGACAATATTAGAATGGATCTTAGAGAGATAGGATGGGATGGTATGGATTTGATAAATATGGCTCAGGATAGGGACCAGTGGAGGGCTCTTGTGAACACGGTGATGAACCTTCGGGTTCCATAAAAGCTGGGAAATTCTTGAGTAGCTGCAGAATTGGCGGCTCCTCAAGAAGGGCTCAGCTCCATGAGTAAGTAAGTAAGTAAGTAAGTAAGTTAGCGTTTTATATCCTTTCATTTTTCTTTGAAGCAAAGGAATTAATTATCAAGTTAAAACACACCTATAACCTTTGAAAAACTCAGCAATCCTTGAGGGGTATCAATATAACAAGATGCACTGCGGGATAACTTACCATTATGCTGGTTTAACCAACGCGCTCCCCGAGGATATTACCGTGTTGCGAAGAGCGTGCCCCCTTTAAGAAGTCCAGGTGTGGCCTGGTTCTGAGTTGTGATTGGTCCAAGCATGAGTTGACCCCTCGTGAAGGTCGACTTCTTGAGACATGTCACTGTGAGATCTTGGACTTGCGATTAGATATATTTTATTAGAGTATTAGACATTTCACATGTAATTTTATTTAATTATGTAGCGAAGAAAACTCTGAAGAGGACGTGAAGCATGAACTTACGATATTTTATGATGTAAAATTCGGAGTTAAAGGTGATGAAGAGGAAACTGGCCCCAATTCCAAGGGAAACAGACCCAACCGGTCTGAATTTAGTACCAGGTCCCTGTTTCCGCGTCCTCTTCAGAATATTAGGCTTAATTAATACAGCTATAAAAGATATATCTAATTCTCCCAAAACTCTTTGCTCCTAAGTCCAAGAGTCTGTACGAAGCCATACAAAGCGTATATACTTAACATCAGAACCTACATTATGGTATTGACTCTGTAGCCAGTGCTTTTCGTGCCCAGCCGTTTTAAACAACCCAGAATGTCTTCCAGCTCCCTGAGTAGAAAGAAACAGAAGCAGGGAAACGCTAAAGCTAAAGCTCTAGTACATAGCCCAGATTGATTGGCTAGACGTCTAGCACAAACGTATCTGTCTGCATATATCAGCAAAACGTTTACCTTTGTGGGAATAAGATAGGCAGAGCCCAAGTGTCTAATGTAGGCAACGCCTGCTATGGCTTGTCACTTTTGGGCTTCTCAGCATCGTAATCCTGAACTTATTATGTCTTGCGTTTAGGGTACATGCAGGCATGCTGCCAGGAAACCGGTTCTTCCAAATACAAGCACAGCTTTTCAAAAAGAAGCTAAAAACGCAAATAGTCTGCCTTCCTGTTTATTGCTGAGTCATATTTCTTCTCACTATAAGATTGATAAACAAATAAAGGACACGAAATAAACATCTTCCGCTACCCGAATATAAGTATTGGATATCTGATAAAACGCACATCTGTACACACAATCTCACACCTCTATTTTCATAGCGTTATAAAACATCTTTATGAGTCGTAGTAGATCAGTCGTATTAGCGAGGGATAGACAGCCGGGGTTCGAATCTCGGCTGGAACAAAATTTTGTTTCTTCTCCAGATTGTCCAGACCGGCTCTGGGGCTCTCTCAACCTTTTATCCAGTGGGTATAGGAGACGATTTCCCCGAGGATGAAGGAGCCGGGACGTGAAGCTGACCATCACCAAGAACAATAAAGCCATATCCCCACTCCCCCGCGTCTTCATGGCGTTCATGGCATAGTGCTCAATTAAGCACGGGGAGAACTTTACCTTTTAAATATCTTTTCCTACAGCCGCAGTCTTACCACACCACGGGGTTGTCGCTGCACGTTTCGTGAAGTACTCATAATTACACGTATGTTCAGAAACCCGACTGTGTATCCGAGAGGGAAAATCAACGTTCTTCCACAGTGTACATAATGAACAGATGCTCAATGGAAGTTTGCCTAAGAAATTAATCTGTGTTCGACTAGTAAAAATATTTCCGATTTTTTTTTCGGAGCCATTGCTAATACCGTGTTTACAAGGGCCCGCAACTACATCCTATCTTGAATCGGTTAAATTCAGTCCTATCCTCAAAGCCCATTTCTGTAAGGGTAATTTTATTATTACTCTGTCTATGCCTAGGTCTTCCAAGCGCGTTTCAATCTCTGTACTGAGGTATATACTCGTATATGGAAATAAACGATAAATGATACAAACTCCGTCCTAAGTGCAAACAATATACATTTATATGTCTTTGATCTTGTTCTTTCTACACTACATGTTTCGGCCTCTATCGGCCATCATCAGGTGTATACTCTTAACGTTGCTGCCACACTGAACCCAGTCTAAAACACGTAGTACACGTAGTACAGACAAGCAGCGGCATTCACACAAGAAGACTACATTAAATAACACCTGTACAGTGTGAAAACAAGAACTAGCCGCTCCAGCACTTAGACATAGGGCGAGTAACCCTAAGAATTTTAAATTTTAAATTTAAAATTTAGAGTAAATTTTAAAAGATTTTAAAAACATCATAACTAAAGATTTTTAGAGTGCTACTACAAGAATATCGGGTTTGACGTGTGCAACATAATCTACATACCAGACACATATCAACGATGTAGATGTTGATAATACGAAGAACGTGACATTGTGTTTTTAAATGTTAAGTTTTAGACTGGGTTCAGTGTGGCAGCAACGTTAAGAGTATACACCTGATGATGGCCGATAGAGGCCGAAACATGTAGTGTAGAAAGAACAAGATCAAAGACATATAAATGTATATTGTTTGCACTTAGGACGGAGTTTGTATCATTTATCGTGTAGAGTGCAACAGGATGCTTAAATATAATAATGGAAATAAACGTTAAAGAAACGTCTGTCTTCAAATCCAGTACCTACTGAAGGACCCCAAAATTGTTATAAACGTGGAGCAGAAGAACAATCTGTACTTCAGTGCGGCTGATGAAGCTCTGGCCAGTCATTATACTCGTCTGGAATCACAAAGATAAGGGTCAAGTGCGTGGAGCCTCCGACTCCAGACCGATTCTCAAATAAATGCAGTCCTGAAAATTATTGCAAACAGATTTTATGTCTACTTAGTCAGGGTAGAGCCTAATGGTGGGATCTTACGAATACGGCAATGGGTTCCGTAAAAGGTGGGGAATAGCTTAACTATTTGAATGACTATCAACTTCGCAAGGACTCTGATCCATGAGCATGTACATGTATTTATGTTTCATATATCCTCACTGTAAAAAGATATTCTTTTCTTAAACATCCTTAACCCGCTGATATCTGTAAAGAAACGCAGCGTCTCCTGTGAGGTGGGAACTGAATATTTAAATATTATTTACACGAGCGTCATGTTTCAAATGGTTAATTACGCATTAACTGGAACCGGACTGACTACAGATGAACCAGCTTTTGACAACTGCGTTATGGTATCGTAAACATATTACCGTGGAATCAGATTTTCAACCGTGCTCGAACTTTCTCGCCTATTGATGTCATGCATTACAAACGACCACACTTCCAGTGTTTTTTTCAGTTTACTTAGATGGAAACAACTTACGTCACGAAACAGCATTCTTCGCTGCGTGGCAACAAGTAGCTGCTGATGTTCGACGCAAAGCACACAAGTAAACAAAACTGATTCCATTTGGGTGTGGTTGCTACAAAACATGCGCATTTTATAACCCTGTCGCAACAGCTTCTGATCTCGGAGGACAAGAATTTCATTTCACAGACTTTTGTTTTGTTTTACAAAATTTCGATATGGTATCTCAAAAATTGCAAGGCCCTTTGGTAGTGTAGTCTTTATAAAACCTGAATTTGGCCCATGGGCACGGATAGGAATGGGTCAGGCCTGACATGTGCCCCCCCCCACCACCACCACGCCACCCCAGATTAAAAATTACCGAAAATGAAAACCTACAAAATATTAATAACAAAAATTACGATTATTTTTAAATGTGGCGGCACCTATATTTCAGTACAGAGACCCACAACTCTGGGGCGATCCATATAAAGACGAGTATTCTTAAATGGCTTAAACATGAGTTTGCAAGAAAATTTTCTGAATCCCCGAAAAACACCCTGGCGTTGTTCATGGTATGGAAGCTGAAATGGAGAACCGCAACAGTAGCTGTTGGTGGCATTTCAGTTATTTTTTACGTCTGATTAGCATCTAAATTCGTAGTCGAATTAAAGGCGAGTTGCTTAGTACACTACGTTGGAAAGAACTGGACAGAGTTCGTGGCCTATTATTCTGCAAGAATTGGGCCGCCACGGCAGATACCTTTCAGATACATGTTAGAGACTTCTCTGTAGAGCTAAACTTTGAGCATGACCAAAGTGTGAGACTGCACCCCAGGAGTTATACACAGTCAAAGAAGTGAACGGCAAAACAAGAAAGGGGAAAGATATTTCCATAAATGTGATTTTGCCTGTATATACACTGATATTATGATATACAGAGACGTACCAGAACGTCCCCACCAACATCTAGGGAATATATTCCTTGGAACAATTTGATATGACATATCAGTGCAGGGCTCAGGCTAAGCTGTATTTTGTAAAGTAAGTTCTTCATGTGGCCCCCAAAGAAAATATTCAGCAGGGTTATGATCCTGTCCAAGGTCTGCCGTGACCTACCCAACAATTTGGAAAACTCTCATTTAAACACTCGGTTCTATGCTGTGTGTAAGTTGGAATAACTCTGTCATGTTGAAATTACATTGTAGCTCCCATCATTAATGGAACATCTTCTAACAAGCCTGGCAGTTCACTCCCCCTCCCTCCAAATCATAAGCATTCAGCTTCAGAATACCTCCATCCTCGCCACCAAGACTCGCTATATGGATCGCATCATTAGGGAAGCCATTGAGATTGAACTCCATCCCGAAAATATGAACAGAGAGGGGGGGTTTTGTCTCAGCAAGTCATGGAAGCCTCTCATCTGTTCTCTTAACACCCTCCCCAGGATATGATGCCAGATCCAGAAGGCTACACAGGCCATGACCGACTAACATAACAACNTCTTCGCTTGCGGATTTCTTATATTTTTCCTTCTACCCTGAAGATGGAGGCGATACGTTCCTCCGAAACGTCGGTTAACACCACATATACACGGTGCCAAATCCCAGAAGACTGCTTTCTTCATAGTCACCGCTGTGAAAGCCTCAAATCTTACATAAATATTTTGTTAGATGATGATTGCAGATGAATGGTTCAGTTAACTTGTTACCAAGTAAAATGTACCATACATTCACTGAGGATCTCTTCTGGCAGCAACTCCTCTCTCTTCACATGTGGATGTACAGGTGCCTATATACACGCATTTCCCATATTATTTACACCATCCCATGTTAAGGAAACTTCATGAGTGAATAACATTTTGCTTCACATTTTGAGTGTTCTGTGAGGCAATGACAGACATCAATACCCATAGCAGGATCTCCAGGTTCAAGATGCTGAAGCCTGG